GTTCTGTTTGGGTACGTTGAGAACAAAACATTGAGGGATGCCCGAACCTCCCGCGTACCCTACATTGAATCGTTTTAGCCAATTCCTGGGTTCCATGTCTTTTCGGACGCACCAGTTTTGGCGGTTCTCTATTGGATCAAGAGTCAACATTTTGGAGCCCACATCCTTTTGTCAGTTGCAACCCCCTTGTACTTCAAACATCTTCAAACTGAGGGTGATATAAATAGTGAAATACCTGCAGGGTATCACAAGACATATAGGAGTGGATTGGGCCCTACGCTCACATCCTGAGTGATTTCATGTGATTTCAGGGCAATTGATACTGTATGTAGCTTTGGAAAATCCAACCTGGCAATAGAAAGTCCCCGGAAGAACAGATCCATTTACAGAGGACTTTCCAACAGAAATGAGGTTTTCTTGATCGCAATTCTACTACCAGATTGTTTTTGACGGCTCAATTTCTATTTCTGATCGGACAAATCCCACTTGTCTTGCCCACTATCCCATTCTTCTTAATTCAATCCCAACATCCCAGTGGTAGAATTTCCTGGTGCACCCAATGGTGACCTCATCTCTGAGCCGCGCAGTCTCTGCGCCGAGGGCCTCGAGGGCATCGTCAAAAGTTTGGGCCGCCATTTGACAGTCCAAGAATGGGGGATGTCACTAACAAAAATGGTGATGTCATGGGATATCGATGGGAGACATGTTGATACGTTTACCAGTTTTTTTTGACAGTTTCGAAAAACTTGTTGAGCAATTGTCATGGCAACAAAAAGACACAAAAAGAATCATCAGAAAAAAAAGAGCCAAACTTGAGCATTGAACAGATCCCACAGTCCCCTGCTCTTAAATTAAAACCATCATAAGAGCCTGGGGAGCTGTATCAGCTGCAGGCGTTTCTTCTTCCTCTCTCTGTGCCTTCCGCCCGAAGCGAATCCCCAGAGGTCGGTCAGTTAAGAAATTCAAACAGCCACAATGCGAATGGGATTTCTTGAAATCATCCAAAACTGATTGTTTCTAATCGGAAACCTATGGTGAACAGGGATACAAATTGATACACCAAGTAAAAAAAAACAACCTAATCATTGTATGCCTGTGTGGGAGCAGTAGGAAAACCACTGACTTAGGGATACGATTGCAAGGCGTACTCTTCCTGGCAATCAAACTTGCGAACCAACAGAACACACTGACTGATGTTGCGTCTGAATGGGTTTGCCAAGTTAAGGTAATTACCATCTGGTTATTTAACATAGCCATGGAAAATGGCCCATTTATGCCCATTTATAGATGGTTTACGTATTAAAAATGGGGATTTTCCATGGCTATGTTAAATAACCAGAGGGTAAGTTTAGTTAGCTCACCTCAGGATGAACCAATGAAGCCTCTGGAAGCGTCCAGCGGGCGTACGATTGTCTACTTCTTGGGGACCTGTACTGAAATACCTTCTAGCATAATCAAACATAGCTATGGAAAGCACCATTTTTAGTCAGAAAATTGGTAATTTTCAATGGCTATGCTGAATTACTGCAGGGTAGTTTTTCTTTATCATGACAAAACACTGAAACCACCTCTTCACATATAAATGACTTCAAACTGGTTGTTGGTTCAACACATCTCAACATGTCAAAACACCAATTGGGATCATCATCCCAGAAAGGGTGAAGAATAAACGGACATCATATAAAGTGTGAATAATTTGATGGGATAATATCCTTGATAAACTTGGCACACACTCGTTCAAACTAATGTTTCAATTCCGTCGAATTCGCTGCTCAAAACGCGTTGGTCCACAATGAACCAATCCCCTAACATGAACTACCCCCTTTATGGGACACCCAAATAGAAATAGTAGACCCTACCTATACTAAATCAGTGGTTTTCGGTATATTGCGGTTTACTTTATATCAGGCAAATGGGATTAAACAAGAAACCAGCAGCCCCTAAGCTTTTGATGAAACCTCTGGAAACCTGTATTGCCTGTGGTTACAGGTTTCCAAGCACATTTCACGGAAATGTTGCCAAACAGATCAACTTCCAACACTCAGAAATTTCATGACTTCATCCATCTTTGCACTGCAACTTCAACCAAGTTGTCGTTCCCAGCAGGGAACGATGGGTCAAAACTCTTTCACCCCTGTAAACATCGTAATGTTCACAGATCTTCAAATATGTTCACGTTAGTTCGAATGAACAGATTGTAATGAGATGGGCATTCCCAGCTGACAACGTCTGACACCGCTCGACTTCACCTTGCCTCAAATGCTGAGCTGATGGGAGCCATTTCAGCCACGACCTGCAGCCGAGATCAGCCGAGGCCACATCAGCATGGAGATCTGATCCAGTAAGAATATGGGCAAATACTGGCAAATCCCAAACAATGTGCGATACATTTTGATAGCCTGCACCCAAGCTGATTATCAGTCACTGTCTTCTCAATTTGTGGCTAGAAAGTGCCGTGTTTCCATCTACCAGAGCAAGGTGCAGCGAGATCACGGTGATCAAAGCGCTATGACGATTGGCCTTATCTTTAGTTGATCCTTTCGCAAACCCATTGCAGCGACCGAGGATCGAATTGTCCTCATAGTATGGTATTGACATGTCGATGAAGCAAGACATCTGAAGGCTCCTGAAGACTTCATATACTTCAAAAAACAGGTGTCCGCCTAAAGATGGACAAAGTAAATGGCTATGAAAAAAATCTATGAATTGACTGTTTGACTTTTCCATCATTTTGTGCCCCAGAAACATAATCTGCTTTCCAGCTCCTGTATAACGTAGGAGCCTGAAGGCTCAAGGAAAATTGGAATTTATATCATCAACAAACACGCGGTTTTGACCAAGAGAAGTGAATCTAAACAACAAAAGGCCGGGGGATTTACATCCATTTGACAAACACCAACTGGGCTTTGATCCGGGAAACTCACACTGCAATCCCACATGGCAATCAGTGGATGCAAACCAACCTTTAACCTTTAAAATCCAACAATGCTCCCAATGGGCTCCCAATACAGGACAGCATAAACTCATGCCATAGTCTTATACTGACCCACACACACACATTCTCAGTATCCGGAAAACATCGGAAAACCTATGCCGATTCTCATGTTAATATCCCGGCCAAGCCATTTCTTGCCTCTTCAGGCTTGCTTCCTTCCAATTCTTGCTCTGCCAGGACGGCATCTGAGGGAAGATCTCCAGCCTGCAATGGTCATCATACACATGTTGTTCCACTTTCAAAGGTATGGGCATGCGCTGAGCGTTTTAATACTCTAGAACTGGCAATATCTACACTCTTAATGAGGGTCAGAACTACTACTGTACCCCCCCTTATCCAGAATTCTTTATTCCCGTAGGTCATATCTCTATTTAAAAAAAGATTCCTGAAGCGGTTGTACTTGCTTCTAACCACCCTTCAGCCCCTGAGCTATTGTGCTATGGCCAAGTCAACACCAATAAAACTGAATTCATACAAATCACTGAGCCACGAGAACCCATCAATGTCTAAATCTTATGAATCTGCAAACCGCAATGTCGCAACCTTGAGGCCCTGCCTCTGAGCTGCTGCGGTTGCTGTTCTCATCCATCCTCTCATCGATCTGTGGCAGGCTGCGGATGCGTGGATTATTCTTTCCAAGAAGATATTTCGTGTACATTCGTGTTAATATGAAAGTGTTGAAATGCTTTTCAAACCCATATGTCATGGCCAAGCAACTGCATACGAATGCAAATACGTGATTTATATGTTCTTATGCAATCTTGCTAGGTGACACGGTGGTGATCAGCCCATTTGCGCATACACACAACAGAAACCCACCCACACAACTCTTGGAGGGAAAATGCAACTGTATCATTAGTATTCCCAAGATTCCTGCACCATGTCTCGCCTCTTCAGGCTTTCTTTCCTCCAGAGCTTCTTCTCGGACAGCATCTGCAGGAAGAGGTTTGGCCTGCAATGGTTGTGCCACGTGGAAAGGAACGGACGTGCATTGTTTTTCATGGATGTGCATGGCTGTGAAAGGAGCATCTCAAGACTGTGAATTTTCATGGCATTATTTACCTTACAACTGCAGTCGGACTCAGTCAGCCTTAAACCCAACTTGGCCGCTCAAAATGGTAGCAACTGAAGGTCATAACCATACATTACCGAATGGATACCGAATGGTTCTGGCATGAATTCCAAGCCAACCCTCCCTCAGCCTGACGGTCAGTTTCCGCTTTTTGCTGCTCAGGCTCATCTGCCTGGTCTACTCCATACTACATACGGATGCAAACACATGCAAAATCAAGGATTCGATAATATGTCTGGCTGAAATATAATATTTCGTATGTCGTCGTTGGGTCGATTTTGTTATTTCAAAATTGAAATAAGGTCTGCGTCGCAAGAGATCTTGAAATACGTGTGCAGGAAGAGGTGCAGCCTGCAATGGTTGTGCCACGTAGAAAGGAACGTATGTGCATGGATGTGTATAGATGTGAATAGAGCATCTGAAGCTGTCATTGACATGAATCATTTCTTCTCAGGAAGTTTCTATGGAGTCGTTCCCTGCAAAGAGTGTGACTGGAACAACTGCAGTCGGACTCAATCAGCCTTAAACCCAACTTGGCCGCTCAAAATGGAAACAGCTGAAGGTCATAACCATACATTACCGAATGGATACCGAATGGTTCTGGCATGAATTCCAAGCCAACCCTCCCTCAGCCTGATGGTCAGTTTCCGCTTTTTGCTGCTCAGGCCCATCTGCCTGGTCAACTCGATACATCTCCATACTACATACGGATGCAACCACATGCAACAACAAGGATTCGATTATATATGTGAAATACTGTGAAATAGAAAGATACGGAAATTACAAAGCTCGGGCGCAATATGGAACAATGCTTTCGGCTCGTATGCTCTTTTTCTGTCTCCGGTTTCCTATTTGGGAAGGTGTATTGAAACTCCAGCTGCAAATTCTAAGCCCACAAACAAAACTAAATCATGTTAAATCATCCAAATGTTGTCACCGAACCATGGTAATCAACGTCCCACTTTCGAGAATTTTCAGAACCCCAATCTTGCGAACTTGAGGCCCTGCCTCTGAGATGCCGCGGATGCTGTTCTCATCCATCTTCTCATCCACCTGTGGCCAGTGGCAGGCTGCATGGATGATTCTTGGATACATTTGCAAAGATATACAATGTGTAAATCAAAATATTTTACCAACCTGAAATAAGGCCATTTGGGATGATTATGAATGATTCCCCTTACTAACCATGATTCCAGTGAGGTCACTCTAATTTGCCCAGATATAATATTTGAAATATATTATATATAGAATTATATGTATACATGTGTATCTCCAGCACAGTCTGTGTATACATAATATGTAGCCTTTAAGATGCTAATTGCTAATTACTCATCCATTTCTCATGGCCAAGAAAAATCATGGATTGCTGCCATGTCATACGGTGGTGAAAAGCTAATTTGAAAGGGAGATGGGTTTACTAAGCATCTGCGCCACAAGAGCACCATATGAACCAGAACCTCAAGAATGACATGATATTGAACAACTGGTTCCCATGCATAAACAGCATAGGCCAACCCAAGCAACTCTTGGAGGGAACATGCAAACGCCTCTTCAGGCTTTCTTTCTTCCAGAGCTTGTTCGGCGACAGCATTTGCAGGAAGAGGTTCGGCCTGCAATGGTTGTGCCACGTAGAAAGGAACGGATGTGCATGGATGGTGTTCATGGACGTGCATGGATGCACATGGATGTCAATGGAGCATCTGAAGCTACCATTGACATCTATCATTTACATTTCTTCTAAAAAAATCCAGAATTGTTCCCAACAAACAGTGACTGGAACAAGGGAACAACTGCAGTCGGACCCAATCAGCCTTAAACCCAACTTGGCCGCTCAAAATAGAAACAATTGAAGATCATAACCATACATTACCGAATTGATACCGAATTCTGGCATGATTTCCAAGCCAACCCTCCCTCAGCCTGACGGTCAGTTTCCGCTTCTTGCTGCTCATGCTCATCTGCCTGGTCAACTCCATACTACATAATAATGCAAGAACATGCAACATCAAGGATTCAAATATGTCAGGTAAAAACCAGGACATTACAAAGTTGGGGCAAAATATGGAACAATGGTTTCGGCTCCTATGCTCTTTTTCTATCTCCGGTTTCCTATTTGGGAAGGTGTATTGACACTCCACCCGCAAATTCAAAGCCCACAAACAAAACTAAGTCATGTTAAATCACACAAATGATTGTCACTGAACCATGGATATCAACATCTCACTTTTGAGAAATTTCAGACCCCAATCTTGCGAACTTGAGGCCCTGCCTCTGAGCTGCCGCGGATGCTGTTCTCATCCATCTTCTCATCCATCTGTGGTCAGTGGCAGGCTGCATGGATCATTCTTTCAAGGAAGATCTTTAGTGTTGACATACAAGTGTTGAAATGCTACTAATCATGACGAATCTATATGCAATGCAAACTTGTGATTTAGTTCTTTTATGTGCTTATTTATTGTTCCTAGGTCGCACGGTGGTGATCACCTCGTTTGAACATATCATATACAGAGCATAAGCCCACCCAAACAACTCTTGGGTGTATAGTATGCCCAAGATTCCTCGCCTCTTCAGGCTGTCTTTCTTCCAGAGTTTGTTCAGGGACAGCATCTGCAGGAAGAGGTTCAGCCTGCAATGGTTCAGCCATGTAGGAAGAAACGGATGTGCATAGATGTGCAAAGATTTGCATGCAGTATCTGAAGCTATCATTGACATCTGTCATTTCTTCTCAGGAATTTCAGAGTTGTTTCCAGCAAAGAGGTGTTTGGAACAACTGCAGTCGGCCTTAAACCCAACTTGTAGTGTCAACCCAGCTTACATACAGCAGCATCAACGATTCAAGGATTGGACATACGAAGAAGGAAGGTGCAAAAAAATCGCTGCAAACCCATGCTTTCGAAACTCATTTCCTTCATTTTTGAATGGCTATGGATGGCCATGGGGGGATTAACCCCCCAATTTTGACCGCCTCAAGTGGAGCGGAAAGAGTGTCAGCTGTTTCTTCATCAGCTGTTGCCTGCGAAAGGTGTGAGGCGAATAGGTTCCAGACGTGGAAATAACCCAACAACTTTCTGCTTCAAACCATGGATTTTATGGATTCTATGCAATTTGTCTGAGAAGGGTGAAAATAACCCAACATCCCATAGATCCATAGTTTGAAATCTTATGTTCCTAATTCATCCTCATTTGATGACCATTTGGTAATTTTGCGTCGAAATTCATGTAGGTGCGGGCTTTGCAAATTGTATACAAACTGGTTTGTTGGCTCTATCAAGTTGTATAATTACCCATGTTGAGATCGCTAATTGTTCCATCTTTGCTTGCTTACTGTAAGCAGGTAGTATGTGTGCCAACGTTCGAAGACCTACAAAAGCCGGGGCTTTGTTGGTTGCATGGCCACATGAATGCTGTTCAACATTTTTGCCAATCCGAAAAAAACGGTTTGAAATCCCATACTGATCATACTGCTTGTGGGTCAATCACACATTAACAAATCTTCACCCATAAGAACCACACCTCTGTGTGCGAGGTTGCTTGCGCCGCCAAATTTTCCTGCGCAGCTGGGCAGCTGGATCCAATTGAGAAGCAATGGCTATAGGATCAACAAAATTGGATACAAACGATACAAGCAGAAAGTAATCATCCTAAAGTAGAGGGCACATCCCCGAGTGTCACTTCTTTCACTGTTTGAGCTGAGATCTTATCTTCTCTAGGAAAGGAATACTAACCAGCTAGTAGAGGAGTCCAAATGTTTATGACTGGGTTGTACTGGGTTTTCTTATCAAATACATGCAAATCCTCGTTTGATCCCAGGGATCCTAGGTTGAGGGATCATGCCAGTCTTATGCGTCGGAATCTGGTGAAATTCCAAGCTGCTTAGTTGCATGGTGGAACACATGGGTAAATCTGGCCATCAGCAAAAGAACAAACACTGTCGTCTTAGAAGCAAATTGAGCATACCCGATCAAGAATCTATGATTTCATAGCATGTCTATGGCAATGCGTGGAAATGCGGCCATGCCAAAATGGTAGGAAATGGATATGACGGTTTGTCAAAATGTCTGTTCCCGGTTTTGTTGATAAATCGCAATTCCATGCGTGCCGCCTCGTGTTTGCCTTTAAAAAACATGACCTACCTTGATGAGGTGAAAACGTGGAAATTCTTCGTTACCTTTGGAAATCTTTCTAAAACCACAGGAATCGGCTAACGCACGTCGGTTTTCATTCGCTGTCGCTGGTACTATCTCCTGAACTGTGTGTCTCTGTGTGTGTGCCTCTCTGAATGCAATATGCTTCTTGACATGCCTCCTGATCAACGCTGTTTCCTTACTGTATATTATACAACACAGGGTCTTGCGGAGGTTTCCTACACGTGTCGAAGCCTCCAAATCTGTTGCTCCTCAGATAAATCATTGAACTCTCGTTTGGCAGATGCTGTAACGTTTCCTAATTTTCAAAAGACCCAGGATTTGAGACATGAGTGAAGCAAGTACACATGGGAAAACCTAAGAAAACATAATTCTTACGAGTAAAACTATGGCAGTTCCATGTCCATCTTAGTTTACTTGAGGGTGCGAGAGCATCAACCATAACGTTGAACACGAAGCAATATGTACGTGAATGTGCACATACGTAGAATGATCTTTCTATCATTTCTATCTATCTATCTATCTACCTATCTACCTATTTAACTATCTACCAACCTACCTACCTACCTATCTATGAATCTATCAATCTAAAAAAATACGTATACTACGCGAAAAAAAGGGACTGGATATTTTCGGTGTGTATTTGTAAACATTGTGCTTCAGCTTACGACGTAAACTCGTCGGACAGACTTGTCCGTTTGTTTTTGCAGTCCTTCTGCTTCTGGTCGCAAATGTAGTTTTCCCACGTCTCTTCCGTGATTTGCTTCGCATCCTCCACGGAGAGATGCGAGACGGGAGCGCCAATGGCGGTATATCCTGACTCCGTGACTGGGGATTGTAAAAGACACATTTGGATACCTTACCATAATCACAAACTTTGAACTATGATGGATCAAGGACATTTGGGGATTGTGACATAATTACCATTAATTACCCTTACAATCATTGCAGTGATGTCGGGGTGAAGTTCTTATAATGTGTAGATAGAAACAACTACACTTAAATTTAAAAGAAATACAATTTTGATCACAATACTTCGCTATGAGTCAATACCTATTAATACCATTTTTAGAGGGATGAACATCCATTTACCAGCTATTTTTATGTTCACCAGGGGTACAAGGTTTTGACCCACTGCCACATCAACAAACACTATCATCAAACAATGGGCAAGCGCCCCCTTTTGCTGTGTCCCAAAGTGGATGATTCCAAGTGGTCATGAATGACAGTTCCATGTTTAACAAAATACTGCCCGGGAAGGGTAAACCAACTTGATGGCAACCCCAAATCCCTAGATAATCTTAGGTAAGCCCGGAAAAACGGACAAAACTGAGTTTATTCAAGTTCTGCATCTGGAAAAAATACACGTTCTTTCTGGAACCACACAAAAACAATCTGCTAAAACAAATCGCCATCATATCTGATTGAAACTCATCCACATCTACATCTGATCGCAACACTATTTGACTCCACATTGAGTTATAGTATCACATCAATTTGGCCAACGGGAAATTTTGACATTTGCCTCGAAATTCAGCTCTCCATGTCTCTTCAATTGTTCAAAGTCAGATCAAAATGACCGCTTCAAAACAAACAACTCACAACCAGAACATGATGCATTGCTTCACAACTGAAATGTTTTAAATCATGTTCAATCATGTTCACCAGTAGTATTTCAACATAATGGTAAAAAATAGCAGCAACCTGTAAATAGGATTCCTCTAGAAAAATGTCAAGGATTGAACATCATACAAAACCCGAGTTATCTTTTTTAAAGTTTATTATAGTCACAGTACTATTATTTTGAATCATTTCGCTATGCAGCATTTCACAATTACTATGGCAGTGCCTGTTGTTCAATCATTTCATATCATGTCGATCACCCTGCTGCATGTCTTTCCGTGTGAGAGATGCAAGGCGTGTAATCAAAAAAGGAGATGTAGTGGCAACGAATGGACTACGCGGTTTACTTCGTCTTGAATCCCCAGGTCCGTAAAAAAACCTACCCTCTGGTACTTCAACATAGCTATAAATCACGAACTTTCATAATAGATAAATCATCTATAAATATTATAAATAGGCCATTCTCGATAGCTATTTTATATGCGAAACATGGTGAAACTACCAGAGGTTGATCTCCAGACCCTGAACAAATCTGCCGCTTCCAAGGTCACACCTAGCCTTGGGCTGCTGGATTTCCGCCGGTGCCTCAGGGGAGGACGGGTGAAAACTTGGGAATTTCAGCAAAACTCATGGAGAAATTATGGTTTCATGAACACTGACGGAATCCAAGTTAAACAATGTTGAGAACAAGTAAAGACCAGAGACAAATATTGGAATGTATTGATATGAATGTTGCCATATTCTATCTTTATATCCTAATATAATATGTAATTATATATACGTATATATATATATATTATTATATATTATACCTTGGAAGATTGTGTATGTTGCTTTTGCCACAATGAGAAAAGTCGCCAATCGTGCCTAGACTTTGCCATCAACGATCGCTGGATTATGTTTCTGTAACGCACATTTTGTATGATTTCTCAAATCTCATGTTTGTTGTTCGTTAAATCAGATTTTCAATGGTAAACTGTCCGCTTCACCGGTTAAATCCCACAATATTACCCCTATCATATTTATACCCGCTTCAATAATCTTGAAACCCAATCTTTTCGATGATCAAAAATTAGTTTGAGGCCCAAACATGTCCAAACCCAAATCATGCTGCTGTTTTACCACATGATATCCCTATGTCCTTTCTGGGCGAATGGACCAGCAATATTTCAGGTTCCCACTATATCATCTGATTAGGCCCCTCACTCTCTATCTACATATCTATCCATCTATCCATCTATCTATCTATCTATCCATCTATCCATCTATACATCTATCCATCTATCCATCTATCCATCTATCCATCGACCTATCCATCTATCCATCTATCCATCTATCCATCTACCTATCTACCTATCTACCTATCTACCTATCTACCTATCTACCTATCTACCTATCTATCTATCTATCTATCTATCTATACAAAGATAAAATGGCCAAATATGAATATACAACGTATACATGTATATATATATATGTATATATATATATATATGTATATATATATATGTATATATATATATGTATATATATATATACATATATATATATATATACACGCATATATGTATATAAATATACAGTATTATGATATGCTTTTATGGGTTATCAGACTCCACAGCAGCCAAAAAAACACGTCCTGCCTCCGCGTTGAGCCCCGTCCAGGTCATGGCGCCCGGCACGAATGCCACGGCGCAGGCGTTCAGCTTGAAACTGCATCGAGGCACCGGGAAACGATGAGAACTATGGTTCAATGGATTGGTTTAAGGGAAAATCTACAGGAAAGCCCCATATTTAATGGGAAAATCTATGGTTTCCTGTAAATTTTCCCTTAAACCAATCCAATCAATGGTAGAAGACCTCTGAAAATGGCCATTGATAGTGGATTTTCCCATTGAAAATGGTGATTTTCCATAGTTATGTTGACAAACCTGTCTGGTTGGTGGTAAAACTATGCTTGGTGGATTTTTGAGCCTTTAGATATGGATATTTTTCTATGGACTATAATGGATATATAATGGAATATAATGGATGTTACTATGGCTTTTTAACTGGACCGATTTAGAATTAGCTTATATTACTTGATTCAAATCCACGCCGAATCTCTTCCTCTGCCCAGGCCTGGAGAAACTGCTTGCTGGTGGAACCTGCCAGAAGGTGCATGATCAAACTTCACCAAATTGGTGCACATACAATTGCTCGCTACCGGAAAAAAGTCATCTCCTACTATAGCAAGCCACAAAAAGACAGAACAGTGATTTCTCACTGATCTAGTGGGATTTTAGTGTCGTTTTCTAATGTGTTCATATTTAGATTTCAATTGATTATTAGTCTAGTGGGAATTAACCAGTATTAACCATTATGAACTAGTGGGAATAAGTCTAATACTCACTGTTCACTCTGAAACATGGTTATTAATTACTAAATTCATTGTTAATCAGCATTAATACTTATTAACTAATGCTTCATCATGATATTCTCACTGTGTCCCCATAAAGTATCACCATTGTTCTTAGTTTATGTAACTTTAGTTAATTACGTTATCACCATATAAAGTATAACCATTGCCAGTACATATTACCTGGGAACATGTATCACCATTGCCGGTTTACATATGGTGATATATGGAAGTTTCCTAAAATGGGGGTACCCCATTTATCACCCATTTTTGTTTGGGATTTTCCACTATAAACCATCCATTTTTGGGGTACCACCATTTATGGAAACCTGCATATTCACCATTATTAACCATTCTTATCCCATTGATAATCAGTGACCACTAATTATCCCATGATTTTCAATGATGACACCTCCATATAAAAATAATGGGATAAGATATGACAAGATTACCACTATTATCCCATTTTCTGTCCCATGATTTTCTTATCACATTTTTCAAAAAACATTACGATTATCATTGTAAATCATAATCAATTATCCCATTAATAAAATCAAACTCTTTAAAATCATTTGACTAAGAAAAATGATAATCACATTTTTTACCATAAGAACAAAATTATAAACCATTTAATCAACAATATAACCAACATATGATAAGTGGCTTATTGGTTATATATTGTTGATTAAACCACAAAATAACAATGGCCATTATGATAGATTAACCAACAATTGTTCATTGGATTTTTAACCATTAACAACTGGTTGGTGGTATACCTACCCCTCTGAAAAATATGAGTTCGTCAGTTGGGATGATGAAATTCCCAATATGGAAAAACATGTTCCAAACCACCAACCAGATATAGTGTATAGATAGATCATGCCTATTGATGAAACCATCCCAAAATTGTTCTTTGTTTACTAACACTGCAACATTGCCAGTCCCAGGCGCAGGCGCTGCAGGCGTTGGATCCTCGCAGTCAGTCCGGGTGCGTGCTGGGTTGGTTAACAGGGATTCCCATGAGGGATCATGATATTACTATGTTGCCCAGTGTATATATATATATACCCATGCACTAATCATTCTATATCAATATGTTAGATAGTATAACATGCCATAATCATCAACCAACAGGGGCTTTGAACACTTCTCAAGTTTCTACCAGTTTTAGCTCATACTAACTCATTAATGTCAACTCCGGATTAATGAACCCCTGCTGAAGAATTAGTAATTAGCCAAAAACAGTTCGATTGCTACTAATATTGTACCTCCCAACTAACCAAGCAGGGTTTATTATGATATTTTCCCATACTTATACTATCTTATTCTACCATCACCCAAATCTTCTGTAATCCCAAGTCTTGGGGTGTTCAGTCCCCAGAGAAACTACGAGTTTAGTATTGGGAAGGATTCAAGAAGCTGCGTTAAACCTGTATGTGATCGTGTTTGCAAGTTATCATATGTACCCTTTGTGGCATGGCCATGGAAAATCGGCAAATTTACAGATGATTTATGATGTTTTACCTATTAAACATGGTGGATTTTCCAGTTCGCCATGTTAAATTACAATAGTGTGTGTGTATATATATATATGTGCATATATATATATATGTGTATGTATATATATATATATATATGTATATATATATATGTATATATATATGTATATATATATGTACATATATATATGTATATATATATATGTATATATACATATATACATATATATATATATGTATGTATGTATGTATGTATGTATATATATAATTGCCCAAAAATGCAACACTATCTCTCACCTCTTGGGCTTTAAAATGCTCCGTCTCAAGCTTTGTCGGGAATCCCTGATGCGATAAGAAAATCATGGGAAAGAAAATGGGATAATAGTGGTAATCTTGTCATATCTTATCCCATTATTTTTATATGGAGGTTTCATCATTGAAAATCATGGGAAAATAGTGGTCACTGATTATTAATGGGATAAGAATGGTTAATAATGGTGAATATGCAGGTTTCCATATTTTAAATGGTGGTACCCCAAAATAGATGGTTTATAGTAGTTTATAGTGGAAAATCCCAAACAAAAATGGATGATAAATGGGGTACCCCTAGTTTAGGAAACCTCCATATATATAATATGTCCAAAGGTCCAAAGGTGTATCTGTCTGTCAAGCTAACTAGCTGTCTAACTATCTACCAGCTAGTTATCATCTATCAGCTGTCTATCAGCTATCTATCACCTTTCTACCGGCTATCTATCAGCTATCCATGCTATCCCATTCTATCCTGTCCCGTCCCATCTCATTCTGGCCTCAGCTTTGCTCGCTTCCAATGCTGGTGCCGGGACCGTGTCCAAAGGAACGTCCTGCGCCTGCAAGGGCATCCGGGTGCGAAAAGAATCCTGTGCCCGGTAGCAAAAGGAGGCTTAGAGATGCCTGCAAAAAGACACTTGACTGGATAGTACATGTCACCACTTATTGCTAAGAATCAACCTAGCTACACATCCTCTACCAGGGTTTTGACCCATGACCAGTGCCAACTGCCATCATTTTCCAACTTTGCAATGGCCTGCTTTTCAACTTCCCTTTCTTGCTGCTCAGGTTCATCTGCCTGGATGTCAGGGGTGGATCTATCCAAATTCAGAAATGCCACAGTTATCTATATTTCAGTCTGGCTTTGTTTCTTTGCCGCATTTACCTGACTGGTGGTTTCAAGTTTCAACATGTTTCAACCCTGAAACACTGAATTGAGAGTCGGGGCATCATCCCAAATAAGGTTGGGGTTCCCGGTTGGTGGCTGGTTGTTGGTGGTGTATGATTCTGACATTTGGCTACAGCTAAACTCCCTGACATGCATTATCCCAAAGCATTTTAACCTCTGGTAAATCATCATAGCGATGGAGAATCTTCCATAGATTGCCCTAGATAGTTTCCCAGTAAAAACACATTAGAACCAAACTAATCCATTGCCCTAAGGCAACTTGCAAGTGGTAACTGAAACCAAACCCAGCCATTTTCCAAGTGGGCTTGTCTGAAAATAGGATACTTCTCAAATCCTTAGCCATAATCATAACTTTCCCATTAAAATCCATGAATGTGGGTAATTAAAACAATGCCATAAGCCATCCCCCAAATCACCATTTTTAAAGCTGGTAAGGTTACCATTCCCAAATGGGTGGTTTGTACATATTTCACTCTGGGGTTTGCGCAGCGCCTCTGAGCCGCTAGCACTCTCCCGCATCTCAGCCACCGCCTGGATCAGACTGGCCGTGAAGATGGGAATTCAGCGGTGGCTTCTTTTTAGGCACGCATATAATCATATATATATATATTAATAGCAACAATAGTAATATATTATAATATATATATCTCTCATAATATAATAATATGTATATATAATATCACATGTATATATGTATATGATTATATATATATAACATGTATATACTGTATATATATATACGTATATGTAACCGTCTACTACTTTGATGATTGTTGATTCCACTACATCTGGCTTAACAACAATTTTTTTTTATCAAATAACATTGGAACACAAAAAATTGGAAAGGTTTTGCGATGACAATCATTTACAAACGTGCACCTGAACGCATGGCCTGGGATATGCTGCATACCCAGGCTTCTGGATGGGATTCTTCCAACACATACCAATAGATACCAACCTACAGCAATAAAATATCACTATTATTGGTACAATATCTACGGTACTTATCTGTACTTGGCAATGATACTTCCAATAAGTACCAAGTGTCATACCGTAGATAAACATAACATTGCCAAGTGTCATTCCTCTTGGCAATTGATATCCTTTTGGCAATAAAAATAGATAATTAATTGCAAGAATAACTATGGTAACATATTAGAGTAGCATATCATTGACAAAAAGTGCAAGCACTGCACTTTCTTGCGCTGGATTCAACTTGCCACCCATGGCCTCTTCACGCTTGATCTCTTCCGACGACTGCTCTGCGGCAGAATCCAGAGGAAGGTCTGCCTCAAAGGTATTCATTGCTAACGCAAAAACGAGAATCTGGAAATGTCTCATCCGTATCTATCTGGGACAACACCTGTCTTCATTAGGTTTGAATCATTTTGCAAAGCACCTCGAAAACTCGAGGTCAGCATTGACAATTTTCAACGGTGCAAGCTGTCAAAGCTGCGCATCCGAAATGATCTCAGGATATGCCAAAAACCCAAGATGGCTTCAACAATCTTGAAAACCATAGTGGAAAATCTTCCAACCATGCCTTGGCCTGCTCCTCTGTTTCCGCTTCCTGCTGCTCAGGCTCTTCTGCCTGGTCAACTCAACAATGACTCATGAGCTCAAGGATTGGGCATCAACAAACAGGAGGAATTTGGGAAATCCTGGCTCCAGTATGTTCCAGTCATCATTCCGAGTCTCCGATGTCAAGTGAAACGTATGAAAGTGAATAAACTGGATTTGAATATGTTCTAGCATGTTCTAGCATGTTCTAGCTACCTTTTGGCTTGGCCATACTCCTCAGAAGTATACAAAAGTAACAATAGAAAAAACACATCACTAAACCATGACCATCATGGGAAATCCCTGAACATAGCAAATATTATAGCCGAATCAATCTCAAGCTGCAGACATCTGCAGACCATCCCTAACCTTTCAGGGCCCTACCTCTGAGCTGCTGCGGCTGGTCTCTCTCTCGATCTGTTCATGGACCTGTGGCACTCAGCCGGATCAAACCAAACCGGATCAAACCAGATCAAACCAAGAGCATCTGGCTATTCGCTTGGCATGGCCAAATCTGGTTGTTTTGCAGGTCTGTGCGAATTAACATACATATGTATTATATATACATATTTTACATACTACATATTTATATTGTTTCGCTGTTGCAACATCTTGCAAACTTAACATACATCAAAGAAACGGTCCACCCAACATTCAATTGCCTGCTCACAACTCCTGATAGTAAACAACAGCAAGAGAACAACATGGAACAACGCCAAAGGACCTGAGAGTGCGAAGTTGCACCTCATGCATGCAGTCTCCCAATACAGTTTCCCAACCCAATGCATTGATTCCTTCTATTTGTCCACCCATATCTGGCCTCTTCAGGCTTGATCTCTTCCACTGCTTGGTCTGCTTGGGCAGATTGCAGTCGAAGGTCATCTGCCTGGTAGGTTTTTCGAGCTAACACAAGGCCGAAAATCTCCAGATGTCTTATCCGGTATAGATCCCAAAAAACTAGATTTCCCTTCATCAGACTTTTCTTACAAAATGGCAGCTCCAAGACTGAAGCGCAGCACTGATCCAACTTGACGACTTTCAACGGTGTAAGCTACCCGTCCCAAATACTCGTCACACTCGTCCCAAGTGATCTCAAGATACCCCAAGCATTGTGCTAAAATTGCTTAAACATTCTTAAACAATGTTTAAACAGATTTAATCATCTTCCAACCATCCGTCGGCCTGCTCCTCTGTTTCCGCTTCCTGCTGCTCAGGCTCTTCTGCCTGGACAACTCAACAATGACTCATGAGCTCAAGGATTGGGCATCAACAAACAGGAGGAATTTGGGAAATCCTGGCTCCAGTATGATCAGTATGTTCCAGTCATCATTCCGAGTCTCCGATGTCAAGTGAAACATATGAAAGTGAATAAATTGGATTTGAATATGTTCTAGCATGTTCTAGCATGTTCTAGCTACCTTTTGGCTTGGCCATACTCAAAGTATTGAAAAGTAACAATAGAAAAAACACATCACTAAACCATGACCATCATGGAAAATCCCTGAACATAGCAAATATTGTAGCCGAATCAATCTCAAGCTGCAGACATCTGCAGACCATCCCTAACCCATCAGGGCCCTACCTCTGAGCTGCTGCGGCTGGTCTCTCTCTCGATCTGTTCATGGACCTGTGGCAGTCAGCCGGATCAAACCAAACCGGATCAAACCAGATCAAACCAAGAGCATCTGGCTATTCGCTTGGCATGGCCAAATCTGGTTGTTTTGCAGGTCTGTGCGAATTAACATATATATATATATATATACATATTTTACATATTACATATTTATATTGTTTCGCTGTTGCAACATCTTGCAAACTTAACATACATCAAAGAAACGGTCCACCCAACATTCAATTGCCTGCTCACAACTCCTGATAGTAAACAACAGCAAGAGAACAACATGGAACAACACCAAAAGACCTGAGAGTGCGAAGTTGCACCTCATGCATGCAGTCTCCCAATACAGTTTCCCAACCCAATGCATTGATTCCTTCTACTTGTCCACCCATATCTGGCCTCTTCAGGCTTGATCTCTTCCACTGCTTGGTCTGCTTGGGCAGAATCCAGAGGAATGTCATCTGCCTGGTAGGTTTTTCGAGCTAACACAAGGCCGAAAATCTCCAGATGTCTTATCCGGTATAGATCCCAAAAAACTAGATTTCCCTTCATCAGACTTTTCTTACAAAATGGCAGCTCCAAGACTGAAGCGCAGCACTGATCCAACTTGACGATTTTCAACGGTGTAAGCTACCCGTCCCAAATACTCGTCACACTCGTCCCAAGTGATCTCAAGATACCCCAAGCATTGTGCTAAAATTGCTTAAACATTCTTAAACAATGTCGAAACAGATTTAATCATCTTCCAACCATCCGCCGGCCTGCTCCTCTGTTTCCGCTTCCTGCTGCTCAGGCTCTTCTGCCTGGACAACTCAACAATGACTCATGAGCTCAAGGATTGGGCATCAACAAACAGGAGGAATTTGGGAAATCCTGGCTCCAGTATGATCAGTATGTTCCAGTCATCAGTCCGAGTCTCCGATGTCAAGTGAAACATATGAAAGTGAATAAATTGGATTTGAATATGTTCTAGCATGTTCTAGCATGTTCTAGCTACCTTTTTGGCTTGGCCATACTCATCAAAGTATTGAAAAGTAACAATAGAAAAAACACATCACTAAACCATGACCATCATGGGAAATCCCTGAACATAGCAAATATTAATATTATAGCCGAATCAATCTCAAGCTGCAGACATCTGCAGACCATCCCTAACCTTTCAGGGCCCTACCTCTGAGCTGCTGCGGCTGGTCTCTCTCTCGATCTGTTCATGGACCTGTGGCAGTCAGCCGGATCAAACCAAACCGGATCAAACCAGATCAAACCAAGAGCATCTGGCTATTCGCCTCGCATGGCCAAATCTGGTTGTTTTGCAGGTCTGTGCGAATTAACATACATATATATTATATACATATATTTTACATATTACATATCTACATTGTTTCGCTGTTGCAACATCTTGCAAACTTAACATACATCAAAGAAACGGTCCACCCAACAGTCAATTGCCTGCTCACAACTCCTGATAGTAAACAACAGCAAGAGAACAACATGGAACAACACCAAAAGACCTGAGAGTGCGAAGTTGCACCTCATGCATGCAGTCTCCCAATACAGTTTCCCGACCCAATGCATTGATTGATTCCTTCTACTTGTCCACCCATATCTGGCCTCTTCAGGCTTGATCTCTTCCACTGCTTGGTCTGCTTGGACAGAATCCAGAGGAATGTCATCTGCCTGGTAGGTTTTTCAAGCTAACACAAGGCCGAAAATCTCCAGATGTCTTATCCGGTATCGATCCCAAAAAACTAGATTTCCCTTCATCAGACTTTTCTTACAAAATGGCAGCTCCAAGACTGAAGCGCAGCACTGATCCAACTTGACGATTTTCAACTGTGTAAGCTACCCGTCCCAAATACTCGTCACACTCGTCCCAAGTGATCTCAAGATACCCCAAGCATTGTGCTAAAATTGCTTAAACATTCTTAAACAATGTTTAAACAGTTTCAATCATCTTCCAACCATCCGTCGGCCTGCTCCTCTGTTTCCGCTTCCTGCTGCTCAGGCTCTTCTGCCTGGACAACTCAACAATGACTCATGAGCTCAAGGATTGGGCATCAACAAACAGGAGGAATTTGGGAAATCCTGGCTCCAGTATGTTCCAGTCATCATTCCGAGTCTCCGATGTCAAGTGAAACATATGAAAGTGAATAAATTGGATTTGAATATGTTCTAGCATGTTCTAGCATGTTCTAGCTACCTTTTGGCTTGGCCATACTCCTCAAAGTATTGAAAAGTAACAATAGAAAAAACACATCACTAAACCATGACCATCATGGAAAATCCCTGAACACAGCAAATATTGTAGCCGAATCAATCTCAAGCTGCAGACATCTGCAGACCATCCCTAACCCATCAGGGCCCTACCTCTGAGCTGCTGCGGCTGGTCTCTCTCTCCATCTGTTCATGGACCTGTGGCAGTCAGCCGGATAGAACCAAACCGGATCAAACCAGATCAAACCAAGAGCATCTGGCTATTCGCTTGGCATGGCCAAATCTGGTTGTTTTGCAGGACTGTGCGAATTAACATAAATATATATTATATATATTATATATCCATTATACATATTTATATTGTTTCGCTGTTGCAACATGTTGCAATATCAACGTACATCAATGAAACGGTCCACGCAACATTCAATTGCCTGCTCACAACTCCTGATAGTAAACAACAGCAAGAGAACAACATGGAACAACACAAAAGGACCTGAGAGTGCGAAGTTGCACCTCATGCATGCAGTCTCCCAATACAGTTTCCCGACCCAATGCATTGATTGATTCCTTCTACTTGTCCACCCATATCTGGCCTCTTCAGGCTTGATCTCTTCCACTGCTTGGTCTGCTTGGACAGAATCCAGAGGAAGGTCATCTGCCTGGTAGGTTTTTCAAGCTAACACAAGGCCGAAAATCTCCAGATGTCTTATCCGGTATAGATCCCAAAAAACTAGATTTCCCTTCATCAGACTTTTCTTACAAAATGGCAGCTCCAAGACTGAAGCGCAGCTCTGATCCAACTTGACGATTTTCAACGGTGTAAGCTACCCGTCCCAAATACTCGTCACACTCGTCCCAAGTGATCTCAAGATACCCCAAGCATTGTGCTAAAATTGCTTAAACATTCTTAAACAATGTCGAAACAGATTTAATCATCTTCCAACCATCCGCCGGCCTGCTCCTCTGTTTCCGCTTCCTGCTGCTCAGGCTCTTCTGCCTGGACAACTCAACAATGACTCATGAGCTCAAGGATTGGGCATCAACAAACAGGAGGAATTTGGGAAATCCTGGCTCCAGTATGATCAGTATGTTCCAGTCATCATTCCGAGTCTCCGATGTCAAGTGAAACATATGAAAGTGAATAAATTGGATTTGAATATGTTCTAGCATGTTCTAGCATGTTCTAGCATGTTCTAGCTACCTTTTGGCTTGGCCATACTCCTCAAAGTATTGAAAAGTAACAATAGAAAAAACACATCACTAAACCATGACCATCATGGAAAATCCCTGAACACAGCAAATATTGTAGCCGAATCAATCTCAAGCTGCAGACATCTGCAGACCATCCCTAACCCATCAGGGCCCTACCTCTGAGCTGCTGCGGCTGGTCTCTCTCTCCATCTGTTCATGGACCTGTGGCAGTCAGCCGGATAGAACCAAACCGGATCAAACCAGATCAAACCAAGAGCATCTGGCTATTCGCTTGGCATGGCCAAATCTGGTTGTTTTGCAGGACTGTGCGAATTAACATAAATATATATTATATATATTATATATCCATTATACATATTTATATTGTTTCGCTGTTGCAACATGTTGCAATATCAACGTACATCAATGAAACGGTCCACGCAACATTCAATTGCCTGCTCACAACTCCTGATAGTAAACAACAGCAAGAGAACAACATGGAACAACACAAAAGGACCTGAGAGTGCGAAGTTGCACCTCATGCATGCAGTCTCCCAATACAGTTTCCCAACCCAATGCATTGATTCCTTCTACTTGTCCACCCATATCTGGCCTCTTCAGGCTTGATCTCTTCCACTGCTTGGTCTGCTTGGGCAGAATCCAGAGGAATGTCATCTGCCTGGTAGGTTTTTCGAGCTAACACAAGGCCGAAAATCTCCAGATGTCTTATCCGGTATAGATCCCAAAAAACTAGATTTCCCTTCATCAGACTTTTCTTACAAAATGGCAGCTCCAAGACTGAAGCGCAGCACTGATCCAACTTGACGACTTTCAACTGTGTAAGCTACCCGTCCCAAATACTCGTCACACTCGTCCCAAGTGATCTCAAGATACCCCAAGCATTGTGCTAAAATTGCTTAAACATTCTTAAACAATGTTTAAACAGTTTCAATCATCTTCCAACCATCCGTCGGCCTGCTCCTCTGTTTCCGCTTCCTGCTGCTCAGGCTCTTCTGCCTGGACAACTCAACAATGACTCATGAGCTCAAGGATTGGGCATCAACAAACAGGAGGAATTTGGGAAATCCTGGCTCCAGTATGTTCCAGTCATCATTCCGAGTCTCCGATGTCAAGTGAAACGTATGAAAGTGAATAAACTGGATTTGAATATGTTCTAGCATGTTCTAGCATGTTCTAGCATGTTCTAGCTACCTTTTGGCTTGGCCATACTCCTCAGAAGTATACAAAAGTAACAATAGAAAAAAAACATCACTAAACCATGACCATCATGGAAAATCCCTGAACATAGCAAATATTGTAGCCGAATCAATCTCAAGCTGCAGACATCTGCAGACCATCCCTAACCCATCAGGGCCCTACCTCTGAGCTGCTGCGGCTGGTCTCTCTCTCGATCTGTTCATGGACCTGTGGCAGTCAGCCGGATCAAACCAAACTGGATCAAACCAGATCAAACCAAGAGCATCTGGCTATTCGCTTGGCATGGCCAAATCTGGTTGTTTTGCAGGTCTGTGCGAATTAACATATATATATATATCATATACATATTTTACATATTACATATTTATATTGTTTCGCTGTTGCAACATCTTGCAAACTTAACATACATCAAAGAAACGGTCCACCCAACATTCAATTGCCTGCTCACAACTCCTGATAGTAAACAACAGCAAGAGAACAACATGGAACAACACCAAAAGACCTGAGAATGCGAAGTTGCACCTCATGCATGCAGTCTCCCAATACAGTTTCCCAACCCAATGCATTGATTCCTTCTACTTGTCCACCCATATCTGGCCTCTTCAGGCTTGATCTCTTCCACTGCTTGGTCTGCTTGGGCAGAATCCAGAGGAATGTCATCTGCCTGGTAGGTTTTTCGAGCTAACACAAGGCCGAAAATCTCCAGATGTCTTATCCGGTATAGATCCCAAAAAACTAGATTTCCCTTCATCAGACTTTTCTTACAAAATGGCAGCTCCAAGACTGAAGCGCAGCACTGATCCAACTTGACGACTTTCAACGGTGTAAGCTACCCGTCCCAAATACTCGTCACACTCGTCCCAAGTGATCTCAAGATACCCCAAGCATTGTGCTAAAATTGCTTAAACATTCTTAAACAATGTTTAAACAGTTTCAATCATCTTCCAACCATCCGTCGGCCTGCTCCTCTGTTTCCGCTTCCTGCTGCTCAGGCTCTTCTGCCTGGACAACTGAACAATGACTCATGAGCTCAAGGATTGGGCATCAACAAACAGGAGGAATTTGGGAAATCCTGGCTCCAGTATGTTCCAGTCATCATTCCGAGTCTCCGATGTCAAGTGAAACGTATGAAAGTGAATAAACTGGATTTGAATATGTTCTAGCATGTTCTAGCATGTTCTAGCATGTTCTAGCTACCTTTTCGCTTGGCCATACTCCTCTTAGTATTCAAGATATTCAAGAGTCACAATAGAATCACCACATCGCTAAACCATAACCATCATGGAAAATACATAGCAAACATTGCAGCCGAATCAATCTCAATCTGCAAACATCTCCTAACCCATCAGGGCCCTACCTCTGAGCTCCTGCGGCTGGCCTCTTTCTCGATCTCTTCATGGACCTTTGGCAGTCAGCCGGATCAAACCTAATCAAACCAAGAGCATCTGGCTATTCGCTTGGCATGGCCAAATCTGGTTGTTTTGCACTGTACTAGTCACTAGTTCTGTTTGAATCCACAGTTGCAGCATATTGTACCTTAACTACATTGAATCATGCAGCACATCTTAATCATCTTATATATATATATTTATAAATGGCTCAACAATAAATACCCTGCTCACATCTCCCAATAATAAAACAAAGGACCGGAAAGTGCAAAGTCTCATCGTCAACCGCATGCATGCAGTCTTCCAAGGCAGCGCGTCAATTAAGGGTAAGTGTTACTAAACATGTTCTTAATCTCCTTTTCTGGACCACCCATGTCTTGCCTCTTCAGGCTTACCATCTTCTAATCCTTGTTCCGCTTGAGCAGCATACGCAGAAAGGTCATTTGCCTGCAAGGATCTGTTTGGACTTGCAGAAATGGAGACATATAAACATGACAAATTGGGGTACATCCCCAAATGCGTAAATCATTTTTTCTCAACTTGCTGCAGCATTCTTCAGGTCATGTCTCCTATTTGGGGTTCTCTGCAACTCTCGGCTGTTGGAGTCTAACTTGATCGATTCGAACCACTCTTTGGCTAGGCCAAACTCCACCAAAATCGCCCTTTTGACAATCTTAAACAATCCTCAAGCATCCTAAAGCACGTTCCCGCTGCAAACAATGAACATCTACTGTGTATAAATATAATATATATATATGTATATCCGAGTCTGACTCAAGCTCCAGCAGAAGAACCATGATCCCCTCAACACCTCTGAGCTGCTTCGGCTGGTCTGACCCTTGCCAGTCTGCTCGTGCATCTGCGGATGAAAAGGTTCTGGGTACCACTCTTTCAGTTGCATTTTACTCTTGCATCATTCTTGGATCCTAGGTTGATTTACATTGATCATCATTGATCTACAGTACCCATTTGTGGTGGCGGGTCCAACATCATTGAGATATCAGGACCAAAGAGCCAGGAACCTGCAGAAGGAAGTCGGCGACAGCAGCATCTGAAGGAATATCTTCAGCCTGCCACGAGCCGTGGTAGGCACCACGTTCCACATGGTAGCTCAAAAGCCTGAAACCCTGAAAATCCCAGGATTGAACACAATACTTGGGGTTTATCGGGTGTTGACCTAGGACCTAAGATTGTTCTTTATCCCAAGAGTCTCGACACGCCTTTCCCGAGAGAAGGCTTGCTGCTCTCGTTTCAGACTGCTTCATAAGAATATTTTGCTCATCCAACCTTCGTGGATGAATTGAACCGAGTGTTTCTCCAACTTTTCGGAACACAAAGGATGTCCTGGGTCACCGCTATGGGATTTGATTGTTGACAAAACCCTATGGAGTTATCTCCCAACACATAGGTGTATCATGGTGTATATCTACATATCGTGTATATATATATACACATTGTAAATATATATATATATACACATTGTAAATATATATATATATAATTATATATATATATTACACACACATATATATATACATATATATATACACATATATATATATATACTGTAAATAGATATTTGTCTATATATATATATATTTGTATATATATATATAATATATATATATGAATATGATACTCAAACTCTTCACCATGGCGAATCTACAGATCGGGCGCCACTCGGCCTTCTGTCCCAAGGCAAAGGGAAGGTCATCCACCTGTTGCATCCCACAGGGGAGACGACACTGCAGTGGTCACCCTATTTTCACACAAACCCTATGTAAAGAAAAAAAAATGTATGCTGATTCCAAACCCTTTGATATCTGGTATATATATATATGTATAGTCTATATACACAGTATCGTCTTCATTATCTTTCCGGCCTGAGAGCGTTCAATCTTTTTCTTGACCTCGAAATGGGGTACCATGCCACCCGAAACCACCGCCTGCGTCTGCGGCGCAGCTTCCAAAGCTTCGGCGTCTCCGGCCTGGCTTTTGCAGAGTCGGTGCGAAGTCATAGTCCATGGGATATTCATAGTTCTTGATGCATGACTTTTCTAGCTGTGATTCTAGATTGTTGATGGTGATGAATGGGATTATTATCCCTTAATAATGGTCAAAACTTGGATATTTAATGGGATATTTAATGGGATTACCCTCTGGTAGTCAAACATGGTTTGCTGGAAAATCCACTAGCTGTAGTTCGATGATTTTCCCAGCGAACTAAACCTCCATTTTGATCGGGGATTTCCAATTGCCATGTTTGATTACCAGAGGGTATTTACATGTACACATACAGTCACATAGTGTGATATTGTGGACATGTTACAATGCAAAGGGCAAAACCTGGAGAAACCGTTAATTTGAAACATCACCCTTGGGCCTTTGAAATGGCCCTGAGTTTGCATTTGCATGCTATGTCCGGATCTCTGTCGTTGTAGCTCCCAACCTAGCATTCGGATTTTTTTAGAACCACGTCTGCCTCACCTTTTTGTTTGGGTGGTATTCCATGTTTAGTTTCCATATATTGTTATCTATTCAGAATAATATGAAACAACATCGGGGGTATATAGCCCTATCTTAGGCCACACCCAAAGATCAAATGACTGTTGGTTAGGTACGTACCATGTTATCCCCATTTTATGGTTTCGATTCTATACCCCTACATAGTTCATTCCCAAAGTTCAAGGTTAAATAGCTAAATCTCACAAATTTTAGTGATGATATCAGCGTTCTTTTGATGGTTAAATCCCTATTGTTGATGCTATTGTTGGTGGCCCAATCACCATTTTTGCTTCTTGAATCATGTTAAATTATGTTAAATCACATCTTTTCTTGGTTAAATCATGTCAAATCACCAGTGTCTTGCCGGTTAAATCATCATACGTCTCACTAGTTTTGCTGGTTGACTCAGACTAAATCACCATTTTTGCTAGTGAACACTCCCACATTCCGGGTGAAACATACGTTGGATCCCTCCGAACCTCGGAAGGGCTGTGACTGCTGAGTTCCTTGTCCAGCTGCTGGTTGATCTGGCGGATGACGTTCTGATGGCAAGGAGATATACCATAAATATGGTTATATGGTTATATAATGTTATATATATATATGTATAATAAGGTTTGGCTCCGTGCCGGATCAGGGGAAGTACTTCCACCCCCTGTTTCTGGTTAGGGGTTCATTTCCTTAGTGGCGCGTTCCACGGTGTGCCACGGGCTGCTGTTCTTGCGCAGCCTTCTCGACGTGGGCAGCTGGCTACTTTGGTGTTTGAGGGGCTTTCGACCTCTACATCCCCGAGCTTGCTGCTCTGGTGTCCCAGCACCAGATTAAACTAAATCCTGGGTTTTTGGCGACCCTTTTTGCATTTGCTGTGCTCTCCTGGCTGGTGTAGCCAGTGATCACCTTACCTCGTCTGAACTGGCTTTGCTGCGGCATTACCCTGGACTTGGTATTTGGTTTATGTTTTCGGGCGCCTACATCTTCCTCCTTGCCAGCTTTGTCAACCTGCTCTCCATCAAGGACTCCATTGGGATTGATCTGATTGACCTCTCTGTGTACCAGGACGGCGACTGCGAACCAGAGACGCAACTTCAGAAGGAAACGGGCCGCTGCCCGACGCGATTGGTATCTCCATCGTCGAGGCATTGCACCCCTTGGGCCTTTGAGGTTGAGGAACATCATACATATCCTTGGAAGCCACCATTCCAAAGACACGAGTTTTCTTTGTCGAGTTGCCGCAGCAATGACGACGATGAATCGTGCTCCATGGAAATGCCGCATTTGTCGGCAATTGAGGAAGAGCAGTGCAATGTACTGTTCCGTATGCCAGCAACCATGGCAAAACGTGATCGACCAGTCCTATGTACACGGCTCGAAGCAGACGGTACAGACGGACCAAGGCCAGTATCAGCAGTCACCATGGCAGCAGCATCAACAACAAGACTGGCAAGCGCACTGGCAGTCGACATCTTCGAGAGGAAGGACACCTTCTCCGAGGCAAAGACAACGGCCAAAGAGCGTCAAAGGCAACAAGACCCCCAAACAGAACCAGCCGCAGCAGATGCAGGCTCCGCCCATGATGATGCCGGCTGTTCCCATGGGGCAGATTGCACCGATGCCTGTCATGTTCCCCCAGCAGGCAATGCAGTATCCAATGCAAGGGACAATGCCTCCATTGCCCCCACCAGATGCAGCATGGCAACCGCCTGCCAATCCCAATTTGGCGAAAATGCCAGCTCCAGTTCCTGCTGCACTACATCCGATGGCTATGCCTTTTACCCCCACGATGCCAGCACCGCCAATGCCAAAAATGCCGGCGACATCGATGACATCAAGTTCCGACACCGATGCCGAGGTCAGAGGGCTGATGACCATGATGAGGGGAAGACAATCCGAGCTACCAGAGGATATGCAAAAGAAGGTCCAAAAGGTCTTGACCAAATTTGGACAGCAATCATCCACGGATTTGCATGCAGCCGTCACTGCTCTGGACACTGCACGACAGAACTACGACGAGGCTGTCACAGCCCGGAATCAACACCACAACATGTGGAAGAAGTTCCTATCGGACGCTGTCCAGTTGTGGCAGACGTATGCACAGCAATTCATGGAGCAGGAGAAGAAGCTGCAAGAGCAAGTGAGCACTTCCAAGGACGCATTGCTCTCCGCCAAGAAGGACCTCGAGAATTCCAAGCTGGCAAAGCTTGGCACTGGCGACGTGCAGAACATCACCTCGGACGAGGAGACGGAGGATCCAGATTCTACGAGTGCGGCCCAAGCTGCCACCAAGATCACGGAAACGATGGAGGGTCTGGCCAGTTCTTTGCAGTCCCTACATCAAGAAGCCGAAGCTATGGTGGCGGAAGAAGCTCACGCTGCCAAGAGGCCAAGAACCACGCCAAAAGCAGAAGACGCTGCAATGGAAGATCCAAAGCATGGGTCGCATTTTGGCAAGGCTGGTTGAGCATGACTATTCAGTATGCCAACCTGAAGCCATGGTTCAGTCCTGACTCCACGATCCCTGGAGAGATTGCCGTTATGAAATGGTCACACAGTATCATCGAGGAGCGCAACTTTCTCAATGAGTGGGCAGCTATTGAAGAAGCGCGTTGCCTGGCCTTTGATATTGGGACCTATAACGGCATTGTGATCGAGGAGTTCAACTCTCGCAAGCGATTGAAGTCACCTACAAGCTCTGTATCACCGGCCAGGGGATTGGGTTTTGCTCCTGATGTCGACGTTCTGATCGGACTTGAGGATGAATTGGTCATGTACAAGACTGTTGTTCCCGAGATCAGTCTTTGCAAAGGACTCATGCCATGGAGGACAGGCCTTCAGCGCGGCGGCAGTTTTTCCCATCAGCCACCGGATGACGTTGATTTTGAGTGGACTCGACAGAATCCTCTACCAATGAAATGCCCTGCATCATCCACAAGCGACCGCACGGGCCACATTGATCAAGATCGACCCTCAGGAGATCTGAGCCTGCCTCATGCCAGTGGAACACAGCGACCAACAGAGACACCTTCGTGGCAACAGGAACTTCTCACACTCCTGGAACAAGAAGGACAAATCGATTTGGGTGAGGATGACTTTGTAGTGTATGCAAGTTCATTCTTCATTGATCATCTACGACTCCAATTCCACAACGAACCTCGGGTGCTACGATTTGATGCCGATTATCAAGATTGGGACAGCACCACACGGTTCATATGGGAAGATCTTGCAGATCCCAATTTGCCGCTGGAGATTGTCATCGTCAAGCCAGATCCTCCAAGATTTCCCTTTCCGGGCACCAGTGCGACAGTAATAGTCCACCAGAACCTCAGACCAGAACGTGCCGCATGCCTCATCACGACGGTACGCATTCAGGATCCTGAGACTATTTTCCAGCACACAGCACACTCTGTTGAGAGACGTTTGATGCCCGCACGAGTTCTGCAGTTAGCTGGTGTTGAACAACTCTGCCAACAACGAGAAGCACAAGGTTTTGGACCCTGTACACTACACATTGGACATCAAGTCCTGCCGATGGACCAGGACATTGACATCCACCATGGTTTGGGTCTACACATCAGGATTCCCTCGACGCTATCTCAAGAGGAGGCGGAACAAAATTTGGTTCGTCGACTTCAACAGCAACGACGTAACAGGGAAGGAGATCACTGGGATCCGGCGCTTGGAGATGATGAACCCGAGGCTGGGCACCCACCCCGCTCGAGGCCGCGCCATGCGGCACCAGACAATGAGCCGCCAGAGGATGCTATCTCCTTCATGGGCAGACGACCGGTCATGCAAAATGCTCTTCGTCTTGAGGCATCTTCATCGACATCTTCTTCCAGTAGCACTATATCATCAGTCTCATCGTCGGCAGTGTCGTCTACGGACTGGAGATCGACAGTTATCCACACACTGGATGGACGATCTATTTCGGCCAGGCTTCCATGGAATGACTATGACCAGATCGTGGTACAAGCCGCAATCGCACTTTCTCTGGAGAAGACAGCAGTCCTGCGTGTACAAGCAGTGCTTCAACGCCCAATTGACTATGTCCAGGTCGACTTGCACTGCCTGATCCTACAAAGATCGCATGAGTTCCGTCCCTCTCCAACCGAAAGACTCACACTTGTTGACCTTGAAATCCATGTCGACAATGATGTTCAACCTACACCTTTCAGTCGGAGGGCAAGATGGCTACCTTATGTAACCACAAGACAGACACTCTTGCGAGTATTGCGCCTGGAGACTTTATGTGCACAGCCACAGGCATGCCACCTGTGGCGCAATAACATTCTCATTGAGGAGCATGCGGCCACACCGATGCATATTGCTGATGGTGACTACATAAAAGTCTTTGTGGGCGAGCTGGCTGAGCAGGACACCTGCCTCTCAGACATCGACCTTGAGCAGAGTGACACAGATAGCGCAAGGTCAATCTCAGAAGAGGAAGAGACACACAGCCTCTTTCAAAGGAATGCTGTACAAGTGCAACGCGCTTGCCAAACAGTCCTCCGACAGTTTGAGCCATGGACCTTACGCACAGCACCAGAGCACATCGTTGCTGGTAGCTTTTCCCGAGCTCTACGTCCTCCACAGACACCTGAACCACGCATTCAGATTCAAAGTGGATTCCATCGTGGTGATGGCCAAAGATTGCTCAACACCTTCGAACAGGAATCCTTTGTTGAGTGCACTGAGGAGGGACCAGTGGCGTACATCGACACGTGGTATGTACATCATCAACGACAACCACACTGCAGAAGAGCACGACCTTTCCGACTCCAAGGTGATGTCGCCACATGGAAGGATGAGATCTTGGAACTGTGGTCGGACACGATCGATCCTGATCTGGCAACCACCGTACATGTTGTGAGGCCTACACCGCCATGTGCGATGACAGAATGTGTGATGGCACATCTGATCTTGGAGCAGTCAGAAAGGCCACAGTTCACGGTCGGGCTCATCACAGTCTATGTATCGGATGGACGCAGAGACAGCACTGAACATGCCGCATACTCACTGCCAGATATGATGACTGCACAAATGGTGTTGCGTTTTGCGGACATGCAACTGACCTGCCAAACAAGGCTATGCTCAGTATCCATTGGCGGCATCCCCTTTGCTCACCATGATTGGGAAGAAGTTCCGCGTGCTACTGGTCTTACCATTAGCATTTGACCTGCCTTCCAATTTACTGCAGAGTCTGACCACATGGACCTGATGCAAAGATCTCGTACAAGATGGAGACGATCACCTATGCCACAGGATGGTGTCGATCTCTCTTCAGCGCCGGCCAGATGTGAGCAGCGTCCCTTTGTCTTTAACCCTGCTGCGCCAGTCTTTGACCCAGGAGCTCCAAACCTTCAGACAATGTCTGAAGACATACAGGAACTACACCAGCACTGGCTCAGGACGGCCTTTAGTTGGGACAATGAAATTGCATCTACTGGAGTGAAGACGTGGTTCGTCGATCACCACAATCAATTCTATTGGATGTGTCAACTTCCAAGATCCACTCACCTCTACGAAGATTTTTCCCAGTGGGAAGCTCAACTTAGGCACATTTGGCGAGATCTTGTGGATCCCACTGCAGAGTTGACGTTTCAAGTGGTGACGCCCACGCCTGTCAACACGGATGCAGAGACAGCCGCACATGTCATTCTGATTCAACGGCCACATGCTGTTTTTGCCACCATCTTGACGACTGTCATTGATCGAAGCCAGCCACCAGGGAGCGTCATCATGCAACTTGCCATTACGGTACATGAACATTTGTATCTTGAACATCTGCTGATGGCGCTTGGACTTGCTGGACGCTGTCTCCATCCGGGAGCCCCGATGCAATGTCAGACATGGTATGATCGTATGCAACTACGTCAAGGAGCGCCATTCCCGGCACGTAACGGACAGAGCATACTGATCTTCATGGACCGCCGACCTACATATCAACACACACGGGCCGCGACCTCGTTGCTACAGACAAGGGCCACTCTCAACCGTCGTGAGCGCCAAACACATGGGCAGGTGGCTCACACCCATGGGCCACGACAGGACGACTCCGTTGAAGACATCCCCTTGCCAAGGAGTGATGAGGCCGAGACCGTGGAAGACACAGAGATCATCTTTATTCATTGGCCACCGCAATATCAGCGATCAGTTCCACTACCAGCCTTCATTGAGGCGCCACGCTGTGGGACTGACCAACAAATTCTGCAAGAGTTGCGATGTTGGGGATATGAAGGACAGGTCATCAGATGTGGACAACATGATGCGGTCTACTTCTGTCCGAAGGATGCATCTCCAGAGATCGTACACATCTATTGCAATCAAGAGGTCAAGGAAAAAGATGGCATCCATGTAGTGTCAGGAGCACCAGCACAAGATGACTTGGTGCATATGAAGTTCCTCTATGCCAAAGGATTTCACAAAGCAGTGATTGTTCAACGAGACACTGTCCTGCCTTCTGTGACTATCCTCTACTTCAGGAATGTTGAACCGCAACATGAGGACAATGATCGACCAAAAAGAGAACCAACACCATGGCCACAGCCACAACCTCTTCAGTACAACATTACCAAGCCCTACATCAAAGGCAGTGAATCTGCACGGCAGTCAGACTATGTGCTTGCGTTTGACAGGGAGGAATTGCATGCCTTCTTCAATGCACCACCGATTGCACTGGTCACAGACATTACGCCCTATGATGTTCCTGACTTCATTTGTGAGGCCATTGCAAGGTGTAAGCCTTTGGATCGACGTGACCGCCTTGTCATATATACAGATGGATCCTCGCAAAGCAGACGTAGACACTGTTCGCCCATCTGGACCGATCTACATGATGTCAGCGACTCTTGGTGCTTTGCTGTCTTTGCGGAGCAGTATGCAGATGATGGTCCAGGACATAGCCCTTATCTTGAGTTCATTGGCTTGACTTGTCAGCAGATCTTGTACGAACCTGACAGACCTCATCATGCTGGGACAGATCACATCGGTTCCGATGCGGCAGAAACAGAAGCCCTCCTATGGAGCGCACTCTGGCGCCTTGCGCAAAATCATCGTCTGCCGACGGTCTTTGTCTCTGATTCCCAACTTGTGGGAGGACAAGCCATAGGCAAGACAGGCACGACGATGTTGACAAAGCCCTTCTGCCACCTCAGAGCTGCGTTCCAGGCGCTGGAGGCAATGCTGCCAGGGGAACAGTTGAAAGTGGTTCACACACGCAGCCATGCCGGGGAGCCCTACAACGAGCTGGTCGATCATTTTGCGAAAAGAGAGGCCAAGCAAAGCCTGTATTTGCCTCGGCAATCAGTCAATCTCAGGACCTTTGACCGCATCCTGTCAATCTTATGGATGATTTTGTCCCAGGATGGCGATGTGCCAAAGCAATGTGCAGAGGGGTTGGCAATCACACCGCCACAGCTCCCTTCAGAGCAACCGACGCCATCGGCATCCCCTACTATCATGACAGGAGCTGAACATCACAAGATCCATATTGCGCTCAGCTTTGCTACGGCAAATGTCCGAACCTTTTACAAAGGAGATGAAGGAGTGCCTGGCAAGCTTCACTATGTCAGGGCACAGCTCAAGCATTTGCATCTTCACTTCTTGGGCCTTCAAGAAACCCGCACATCGCGATGCTCCTCTACTGCTGATGGTGTCTACCGGTTAGCCAGCGGGGACCACCAAGGCCCACAAGGAGTTGAACTATGGATCAACATGGAGCAACCCTATGGCTGGCGGAATGGTAAAGCTCTGTACTTCAAAGTGTCACACTTTGTGGTGACATACACTGACCCTCGCTTCATCGTCGTCCATGTGCGCAATGAACAACTCGACTTTTGGATAGCAGTCGTGTATGCACCGCAAAGTGGAATTGCCTTGACCGAACGGACTGAGTGGTGGGCCCGATTCACAGAACAGCTCAAGGCTGAAACAGAAGGCCATGATTTGGTTCTCATGATTGACGCCAATGCAGCCACTGGAGCCACAGATGGGGAGCATGTCTTCATTCAGGATGACAAAGCTACTAGTGGTACTTGCCTCCTGCGGGAACTTTTGGCCACACATCGACTCTGCTTGCCTGCTACCAGTGAATGCCACCAAGGTGAACAAGCGACATGGACGTGCCCCGCCACCGATATTGGGCATCGCATTGACTATGTCGCATTGCCTATTACCTGGCAGTCCTCGTGCACCATATCAAGAACGATACCTGAACTTGATTTTGGACACGTTGGAGATCATACAGCAGTTGGAGTCGAAGTTCAATGGCGACAATTTTCCGCCCCCACACATCGACAGGGACGACGAGGCGTACAATTTGATCGCCAAGCCATTGCGGGTCAATCATTACATTTGTACCTCGCAGACTATGTCCCCCTCGATTGGCAGGCTGATATTGAGAATCAGGTACATCATTGCAATGCACATCTACATCAGGTTCTACGCAAACATTGCCCCAAGCAAGGGCATAGACCAAAGAAGCAGTTTATCACAGAGGAGATCTGGCAACTCCGAACGCTCAAACTCCGAGAAGGAAGACAAGTACGACATCTTCGACGTCTCCAACTTCGAGAAGTTTTGGCGCACACATTTGCAGCCTGGAGGTCGCAGCAGAGAGAGCAACCTTCGAATTGCTTCTACGTGACGCTCCGGTGTGCCCAACTCAAAGCTGGAGTCCAGTTCCAAATCCACAACAGGGAACTTCGGAAAAGCCTCCGCAATGCACGTGGCCATGCTCTCAAGGAAGCACTTGCCAGCCTTCCCTCTGATTGCTCGGCCAGCGCAGTCCTGCAACAACTCAAGCCCATCATTGGACCGACCAATCTCCGACACAAAAGAGAGACGCCCTTGCCCATTGTGAAAGATGATGATGGCAACCCTTGCCGCACACATCAAGAACTTGTCGACAGATGGGTCAATTTCTTTGGGGCAATGGAAGGAGGCACCCGGATGGACGCTGATCAGCTTCGAGCGCAGTGGTTATACAATCTGGGCACCTTCATTCCGGACAAGCTTTGCCTACAGCCCGAAGACTTGCCCACCTTGGTCGACCTTGAGCAGGCCTACAGATGTGTTAAGCCTGGCAAAGCAATTGGAGCAGACGATATTCCGCCAGAATTGTGTCATGCCCAACCAGCTCTACTAGCCAGGCTTACCTTTACGCAGATGCTCAAACTCACTGCACATGGGCAGGAGTCATTGTTGCACAAGGGTGGGCAACTTGTCTCTGCCTGGAAGAGGAAGGGGCCGCAAAGCGACTGCAGCTCATACCGTTCCCTTTTGATCAGCTCGCACATCGGCAAGACCATCCACAGAGCTGTTCGCAGCAACCAGTCCACCATCTATGAGAACTTCCTACAGAATAGTCAGGTAGGAGGACGCAAAAGAGTTCCTGTTGGCCTTGGAGTTCATCATGTTCGTGCTTCGCTCCGTCGGGCGAAACAAAGGAAAGCTTCCTCGGCCCTCATCTTCTTAGACCTGCAGGAAGCGTTCTATAGAGTGATCAGGCCACTTGCAGTTGGAGGTGCTCTCACTGACGACCTATTAGCCCAGATTGCTCAGCGTCTCAGACTTGACGAGGACACTCTTCACGGACTGCATGAACTTCTCAGGGAGCCTGCTGCTACTGCATGTGCTGGTTTGCAACCGCACTTACAGACCGCGCTCAGGGCATTGCACACCGACACGCATTTTTGGATGTCGGGACAATGTGATTATGTTCGAACGGCGATTGGCACACGGCCAGGAGATCCATTTGCCGACGTCGTATTTGGCTACATGTTTGCAAGAATCCTCAAAGATGTGGAGGAACAGATGAGGTCTTTCGATCTGCTTGAGACCTATGATGGCCCCAACACGTCAGGACTTTTTTCCACTGAGCCTGCGGACACTGCCTCGCAACAGTATTTGGGCCCTACATGGATGGATGACCTTTGTATCACTCTGTCAGCCTCGACTGCAGAGGACATCGAACGCCAAGCAGGACAAGCCTGTGGCATTTTGCTGGACACGTGCCGTCGGCATGGGGTCTCGCCCAACCTTAGCAAAGGGAAAAGTGAGATCCTTTTTGCCTTCAGAGGGCCTGGTTCCCGGGCGCACCGCCGAAAATACTTTGGGCCCAGCCAGTCTGGTCGAATGACGATCGTCACTGAACAGGGCGTACAAGAAATTTCAGTCGTTGGGCAATATCAACATTTAGGCGGACTGGTTCATCACAGTGGCGAGACTCGCCACGAGATGCGAAGAAGGGCGGCGCAAGGACATGCAGCCTTCTCCCAGCACCGCAAGGCAATCTACCAAAACCATCAATTGAACCAGCGGAAGCGAAGTGAGCTCTTCCAGACGTTAGTGGCGAGCAAGGTCCTCTTTGGGATGGAATCATGGACGCTTATGGACAAGGTCAACAAGCACTATTTCCACAGCGCCTACATGCGACTGTACAGACGCTTGCTGAAGACCCCTCCTGCAGCTTCCTTTTCTGATGAAGAGATTCTCACCCAAATTGGCCTGCCCTCACCAACCACACTTCTGCGTATTTCGCGCTTGAGGTATTTGGCTTTGCTCTACAAATGTGAACATGTGACGCCTTGGGCTGTGTTCCGCACCGACACAGAATGGTTGACCCTCATCCAGGACGACCTCCAATGGCTTTGGCATTTGATTCAATCAACCACGCAGCTCCCAGATCCGGCCACTCACTTTGGTGTATGGGAAAACGTGCTCCGCTACCATCGTACCTACTGGAAGAGACTCTTACAAAGGGCATCCCAGCTGGAACTACTGCACTGCGAAGATCAGGTGCTCTTGCTCAAACTCCATCGTGATGCCTTCAGGATTCTGGAGCACAAGGGCCCCTTTGCACATCGACCACAGATTTTTGTGCGAGCCCCTGATCAAGCAGACGAAGTCTTCGGTTGCATGTATTGCTGCAAAAGATTTCGCAGTCATGGAGGCGAAGGAGCCCACCTATGTAGAGCGCATGGCATTGTTTCGCAGCTGAGGTGGCTCTATGATGGCACGTCATGCCCGGCGTGTCTACGAGAGTATCATACTTTTGCAAAGTTGCAACAGCATCTCAGAGGAGCCGCGACCTGTCGTGCACTACTACAAGGGCAAAGACACTGCAGGGAACCTGCCCCAGGTAAGGGCTCTGCGGCCAACGAGCGCTTACACAACCTCCATGATGGCCTGCTGCCGATCCTACAAGCCCAAGGACCAAGAGATGACCGACGCCAACCTCGAGCCGAGGAGAACTATGACCTCCAGCTCTTCGAGGACTTGGCCACACTATGCTTCGAACATCAAGACCATCCAGACCGTGATCTACAAGCAGCCCTCACAGCAAAGATCCAGGAACGCCCCATTGGTTGGACTGCCACCAGACGCACATTGCAACACTTTGTGGACAGCCTGACTTGCACAGATGCCGATCTGGCCCAGCTGGACTTTGATGAGTGGAAAAGGATGCTTACAATGCTTGGAGATTTCCGTGCGTGGAGCTTCTTACGAGAAGATCATCAACAGGATCCTACTGAACATGACCTTTCTCTTGATCAGTATGAAGACTGGTGCACAGAGCTCCGTGCTTTTGAGACGCCTCGTGCACAAGATTCGCAAGTCCCACGCATTCGATTTCAAGAACGTGTTGTGGTTCATGCCTACTCGGGGAGGCGCCGCCACGGGGATTTCCAGTGGTATATGGAGGCCATCGCCGAGCGCAAGGACATTAAGCACCTCTTTGTCGTATCGCTTGACTTGGTAATCGACCAGGAATGGGGCGACATTGGCCGCCAGGAATCGTATGAATTCTGGACGCATGCCATCTACAGCGGATACGTCATCGGCATGATCGGGGGGCCACCCTGTTGCACGTGGTCTGCCGCCCGGGGCAAAACCGATGCGAGCATGGCACAGCTTGGTCGCACTGGACCACGGCCCATTCGTTCAGCTGCAGAACTATGGGGTTTCTGGTCCTTGTCCATCCGGGAAAAGAGGCAGATCCTGGACGGACACAGGCTCCTGGCGTTTAGTCTGATCTGTATGATGCTCCTTGAGCAGGTGGATGGATCAGGCGTGCTGGAACACCCATCCGAGCCGGCCGACCCGCTGAGCCCGAGCATTTGGAAGTTACCCTTGATGATTCTCTTGCTGCAGCTCCCTGGTTTCGACAAGGTGGTCTTCGCACAGGGGCTTCTTGGGGCTGACAGCGCTAAGAGCACTACTTTGCTGACCCTCAACTTGCCGACCCTGCCGAAGCACATCAGGGCTCATGCAATCAGTGCTGAGGTGCCAAAGACCCGCTCGATTGGACTTGATCAGAGTGGGCATTTTCGAACAGCAGTACTCAAAGAGTACCCACCGGCTCTGTGCAGCGCCATTGCTGCCAGTTTTGCCGACTTTTTAGGCACTGTGCCTGATAGCGGGCACCACATCCCGACACACGTGTTGCACAGAATCCAGGCCATGGTATGCACCGATTTCGGCACTACTATCGGCCCCGATTGTGTCAAGGGATGATGGTGAACCTGTGATTTTCAGGCGTGTCACGAATTTACGAACAGCCGCTGCCGCGACGGATTTCGTCACATCATGCAGTTTGCAAAAAATATGTATAATATACCATATGGTTATACATACATATATATATATGGTGTTTTATATATGTATAATGCACAACATATATATAGTATAACGTATATATTAATATAATATGTATACACACCAGTATATACCCCAGGGTAAACCAGCATAGATGTGGACCACCAAGCATTTCCAGATATTTTTCCTTGGGAAAAACCTATGTTAATTGGTTTACCCTAGTATATAGTATATAAAAAGCAGCATATGTATGGTATGATTGCATCTAAACCATTTAAGTTACCACATTGTTGGTGGCTAAGTCACCAGTTTTCATGGTTGTAGGTAACGATGTCTGGGAGCATGGAAGCAGGGAAACACCTTCTTGGAAGGGAAAAAACCCGGCACAGACAGGAAGACCACAGCCTCATGCAGCACTGGCAATCCAAGTCATGATTGAGTCAGCATGGAATTTCAGTTATTTCATAGTTATACTCTCTGGTTATTTAACGTAGCGAACTGGAAAATCACCATGTTTAATAGCAAAATCATCATGTTGATCATCTACAAATGGACAATGTTCATCCATTTTCTGCTATGTTAAATCACCATTCGGACCAAAGTGTAGATCATGTTCGATCACCATTGGTACCCAATCCCACTCTGGGCTTCCTGGCTCGATCCTGCAAAGAACCGCGGCTGCTGGAGCCTCCCTGGGGAGAACCAGGAGCTTCCAGCGCCGCCTGGGGGAAGCCCAATTCGCTGTTCGGGCGGGGATGCAACCTGCAATGAGAGAAAAATACCAGGGATTTTTGTTTGGGTTCACTATGGTTCACTATCGAAAATGAGACGCATTAAAATATGCCACAATTCAAATACGATTGATATAATCATCAAAAATATAAAAAGAAAACAATAAACATCAACAAATGGAATAGTAAAATAATTCCATCCAAGATAGGCATGTAGCCACCAGAAGTGTGGATATAGCTGGGGTTATTCCCCCCAGCCACGATATGCCAGAGTGAAGGCTTAAAGGGCGCCATTTCCAAACATGCGAAAACATATTGCCATTTACTTCCTGGTAATCTAACATAGCCAAGGCAAATCAGCACTTTATAGATGTTTTTTTATCATTATTTTCCATAGCGACGTTAAATTACCAGAGAGTATCCCAAACATATCAAAAATGGCCCAGTTTGTCCAGGCAATTTTTTACCCAGTCATGTAGGCAAATTGGTAGACTCACACAATATCATGACAATGTGGGATTATAAAGTGTTATTACTCATAGTTACTTGGTAGTTCATCCCACTTGGCCCCATTTATAACCAGAGTTATAACCTTAATTACTAAGTAGAATGACTTACCAAGTGTATAAATATAAACATTACAAATACATTATAAACATACGTTTTCAGCCAGCATTTCGGGCGTCCAAACTCTGGAAACACATCCGGGGCATCATCCCCTGTGGAAACACGTCCCAGTCAACTTCTCCGGGGCACCATGTCGACCGAACTGTCAGATCGTCCAGGTGAGACCTGACAGAGTTGTTGATCAATGGGAGATTTGAGGACATATGGGCATTTCCTGGAGATAGAATCAGCAATATGATATTTGGATGTCTGAAAATAAGGTATGTTGGTATATCTTGAATTTATGGTCAACATTAAATAGGAAACATATAAACATATGTATTGGAAACATGATCATCAACCATCAATTTTGTGGGTTTTTCCATGGTTTTCCGTATAGAAACAACACGCCAAAGTGGTACATGGCCCGTCTTCGTCAACACTTCGATGCTGGAAAAACTGGACACTTCCCAGTCAGGGGCAGCAGCTTCCCTGGATTCATAAACCCCAAACGGCTGTTTAACTGGGGGGGTACCATGTAAGTATCAGACTATGACTATTGGGGAAGTACCCCCCTAATTAATAAACTATGGTTTATTAATCCGGGGTTGACATTATACAAACATTGAAACCACCAGGTAGGTGACATGATTTATCAATATTTATCATGGTTCAGAGAACTCAACTACCTAAACACATCTAAAAACTAGATACAACTGGGATATGATGCTGTCCGCGCAAAAAAATCCAACCCAAAAACTCAACCCCGGTGCCTTCCGATCAGAACCGCAAACGACGGCCTCAGTGGAGGCTCCATCGACAAGATCCATATGGAAATCCTTCAAATTCAATGGATTTCTGGGACATCTACAGAACACATCAGATTTTTTACCATTAATTGATTAATTGTACGTGTTTCCCGTATTTTTGTTCACATCATTCAATTCTTGGAATCATCACAAACACGAGAATCTTATGAACATCATGCAAACCGTAAGACTAGAAGAGTACGCATCACTATGTAACAGTACAGCATGTAGGCAAAAATGCCAGGTCATACCAGAGCGCTTCATTTCAGTCATCCGTTCCACCAGGGCGTGTCACATGAATTAACTAGTGGAGATGATCATAGCTCCTTAGGTCCAAACTCAAAGTGGCTGAGTGGAGAGCTAGCCTATATAAAATGAACGTAGACCATGTCGATCCGTCCAAAAAAAAATGGACTATGTACTCTAAAACCTGGTCTACCTCAGGAAATATCACAATTTTGATTGGTTATGACCAAGCGCGGAAACGCCGATACTACTTATCTGCAAATGGTGGGCCGGCAACGGCTGGGGGAAACGTACGTTTATTGGCCGGCAATGGTGAGCCGGCAATGGTGAAATATGTTCTGCATACATATATCCAGGCAGTTTTAACATATTCTGACCATTGTAACATTGTGTATCATCTTCCGCATTCAATGTGAGTTCTGGAGATTGCCCAGATGGTCCTATAAACATGACAATAATATACCCTCTGGCAAATTAACATAGACCCTGAAAATCACCCATTTTTAGAGGAAACTAATCTTCCAACCCCTATCTACCAGGGTCTATGTTAATTTACTGGAGGGTACATAATAACAATAATGGGGGACAATGGAGATATCATGGAGAAATATCATGGAGATACACTGATTCATGGGAAATCCATGGGATATAAATGGATATTCTGGCAGTATGGATGTGGGAAAACCAATCATAAACCTACCGGATGGTGTGTAGCACCCATAAAAGAATGATGATGATTTTGGGGATGGGATTATGGCATTGGATTTACCACAATAATAGCAATGATGATAGTAATATACTGGTATTTATTTATATATTCGTAGTATAATATATATATATATATCATATATCATATATATATATCATATATCATATATATATATATATATATATATCATATATCATATATATATATATATCATATATACAATATTGTACATACTTTGAACATCCATGATTCCGGATAAAAACATGTGCTGCTTCATGAGAGGTAAGGTCACGATGCTGTGAATCAAGGAGCCCCTGTGGGAATGACTGGTGCGATAATTACATTATGTGTAGATACATATATACATATATATATACTAATCCAAATGTATGTATACATATATACGTATCATGTATATATATATCATGTATATCCACACACACATATATATATATACACATGTACATATATATATACACATGTACATACATATATACATATATATATATATATACATGATATGTACATATATACATGTATGCATGAATATCTTCTATAGAAATTACAGCAAGGTCTATATATTTGCACTATGGGGACGCCCGTATAGGGATCCGTGCGGATCGCCGGCCACGGCGGCAGCTGTCGGCCTGTCAAGCATTTTCTTGATATCCCTATAAATGGAGGTTTTAATGGGAAAATCATAGGAAAATTAGGAAAATCATGGGAAAACGTAGGAAAGTGAAGATCTATCCTCTGGTAATCAAACATAGCAATGGGCAATTCGATACAATTCCCAATTTATAGATATTTAATATAGATGATAAACATGATGATTTACCTGTGAAAAATGATGATTTTCCATCGCTACATTAAAAAATAACCAGAGGGCCATTCTCCATCATCTTCGCTGCAATCCCTCGACAAGTCATCCACTCAAATACCCAAGTTGCTGCCTCCCCAGCTATGTTTGTTGATAAACCCCAGCAACTAGTTCGATATTATATATATATTTATATTTATATACACATCATAAACCCTAGTGAAATATCAGTCATAAAGAAACTGAGCCAAGTATGGGGCACAACCTTGTAGTCTACATTTTTTTTCTTGCCTCTGATGGCACCTGCCACCATCTCAGCCCTGCACCTCGCTGCCGCTATGGCTCTCCTGCTCATTTGCAGTTGAAGCAACAGCAGTAGAGAGCAATGAGCTCAAGATCATACATTACATTAGGATTGTATTACATTGCATTAAACTGCATGACATTACATCACACATAATTTCATTTTCATCACAGTATTTATATGTATATATATATATTATATTGTATTACACTAGAAAATACGCTGCAATAATATGCAATAACATAGCGTGACATTATAGCATAGCATAGCGTAACATCACATAACAGAACAGAACATCACATCACATCAAAGAGACACACACATAATATATGTATGTATGTATGTATGTATGTATGTATGTATGTATGTATGTATATATATGTATGTATGTATATATGATTACATATGTATAAATATGATCTTATATACGTAGATAGAGGGAGAGAAAGAGAGGGAGAGACACCAAGAAAAGCATGTCAAAACGCAAAAGGGTACAGTAATGGAGCAAAACAACATCACATATCATCACAAATGAATGTAGTGTCTCTCTGATCATATGTATATATATAATAGACTGTGGCTAATATATGACCCTTGAAATTTGGCAACAACATCGGTATATGTCTGAAAGTGGGCTGATACCTTGGAAAAATGGCAAGTTCTAAGAAAGAACTAATGATTAACCAGCACAAGCTTATCTCCATAGTCAGCTAAATTGGATTGTGAGTAACATAACTAGGGTTTATAATAGATATATCGAACTAGTTGCTGGGGTTTATCAACAAACATCACTGGGGGGAACCGCCTTGCATTCTATTCATATATCCCCCCCTTAAAAATCCCTATTTTTCGTGATTGAACGAATAGTGTGCGGGGATATATCCAATATAGTCCAAAATTCATCCACCATTATCCATCATTATCCCATCATTTCCCTAGTTAAATCCCACCCTTCTGTTGGTTTTTTGTCCCATCACTGAACCGAAAATCCATCGCTGCGCCGAAAATCAACCGCTGGCCGCCTGTTTGCGGCACCTCTCCGGCGAGTCCGGCTTGGCCTAGAGATCGGTAGATCCTGATATCTACCCGGCCTGGTAAACTAACATAGCGAACTGGAAAATGGCCATAAAAATCGTGGATTTTCCCTAAATCGCATGGTGATTTTCCATCGTTTTTGGTATGTTTACCAGAGGGTATGTGAACTAGTTACTAGTTGGAATAACTAAGGTTTCTGGCAGATAAATATATGGTGTGTATATATATATATGTGTCTATATAACATTATATAACTACGTATAGACATTAACTAACGTTAACTAGAGTTTTCAGAAACATTGACGTATGGTATATAATAGTTAGATAATTACCACCCCTTTTTCGATCTGTGGTCATATCGCGTTGCTCTTGGCTGTCCCTCGTTTGGATATTAAATCAATCACCATTTCTGTTGGACATTGCTGAGAGACCGCCAACTTTAACACAGCCCAAATGAGTAATTTCTGGATACCCTCTGGTAATTTAACATAGCTATGGAAAATTGCCCATTTATAGTTGATTTACCTATTGAAGATGGTGATTTTCCATAGCTATGTTAAATTACCAAAGGGTATTTTGGGGATGATTCCCCCTTGCACTCCTCATTTCTGGCTTCCTGGTGAAATAAAAAAAATGTCGGTGAAGCCCTTTTGTGAAATGTCCCCGGAGATGTCACCCCACCTGCTTGTGGCACACCTACCAAGCCTTGTGCCCCCTTGTATTTTCCAAACTGAGTATGCTTCGCAGTGAAACACAAACTTGAGCAAATTACATCAAATTACCATCCATAAGGTCCATAATGTAATAATGTTGGAATTATTTTGGTGAGACATTTACAGATTTATCAACATTTATTTGCTGGTTGGTGGTTTCAACCTACCCCTCTGAAAAATGATGGAGTTCGTCACTTGGGATGATTAGTCAATTCCCAATATGAATGCAAAGTCATAAAATTCCATGGTTCCAAACCACCAACCAGATATATGATATATTGTTATTCCAATTATTAACCATCATTACCATAGATTAACCATAGATTAACCATAGATTAACCATAGATTAGCCAGGAAAAGCCATGTTCCAAACCACCAACCAGTTTATCATGTATCAGTATATAATTCCAATGTTTTTTCCAGACGGCACCTCCTCGCTAGCGAGCTCGGTCAGCGCCATGCGACCGGGCCTGGGATCTGGCGATTGGGAGAACGGTGGCTTTCACCGACATGGCTGGAGTACCTTGCGCTCGCAAAAAAAAAACATATGAATTCCTCACCTGAACTACCCTGAAGAAAAAACAATGACATCTAAGTCATCTAAGTGTCCAAATTCTCCATGGGATATCAAACTTTAGCTCCATCTAGACAGCTTGAAAATGGAAACCATGAAACGTGCAATCAGACGTTAGCCTGAAAGAGGGGACAGACCAGCCAAACTAATGTTTGAATGACACGCATGGCATATGAGTCAATGGTACACTACCATACATGTACAGTACCTCACATATAAACATATAGAAACATCATCAACACTGGAAGGAATCACTCCTGCTAGCTCCGCAGTTTTTGACCATCCATCTTTTATCTGGCAATGATCAGGTTGGAATCAGGGCAATAAATATCCGATTTGTCAATATATTTCGATACCCTGCCGTGGCATATTTCCGCAAGACAGCATTCGATACCTGGTGCAGTGATGAACGTGCGACTCCAACAAATTTGTCTGAAAAGTGGGTACCCAAAACTCTGATGGTTCATAATTGTCATTCATTTTCAACTATGTTCTATATGAAGAATAATATATATATATATAATATATATATACATTTTCCGAAAGCACGCATTGGGGTGTCACATTGGCGGTTTCAAGCCATCCTAAAAATGGGGTGGAGCCTGAGAGACAGCCACTATCACCAGAAATGGGTGGTACACACCATCCCCAAATTGGAGTATAGTTTTTGGCTTTACCACTTTATTCACCATCAAGTTGTGGTGAGGTCGTTTCAGGTTGTGAAATATGGTGAGGCATTCAGTCATGTTGTGACTGTGAATTGGCAGTCACAGTCACAACTGGCAACGGAGAAGGCACCATTTTCACATCGATAATCATATCCATATTTTTTTGGTTCAGGTCCATAGTGGTATCCGTATAAACAATCCATATAGATATATCCTTCAATATCCCTATGATTTTCAGGGACAAATCAGCAGCTAAGTTCCCTTCCAGCGCCTGCAAAGCAGGTGTGGAAGCTGCGGCGCCTGGTTGGTGTCCTGAACGGCGATGCTCGCACTGCATGTTTTGTACATGTGGATTTCCCGTAAATCGCCATCTTTGACTACCAGATACTACCAGGTACCCTCTGGTAAAACTAACATAGCTATGGAAAATCTCAGAATTTCCAATCATTCCATAGAATTCCACTATTTGGGATTTTCAATAGCTATGTTACCAGAGGCTAGCCGCTAGCCCCATTTTCGATCTCCACACCTGGCTGCTTGGCGCCGCTGCCTGCCATGGTGGCGACTGTGGCACCAAGGGCTCGCTGGAGCCGGCCGGAGACATGCGGCGGCTGGGTGCCTGAGGTCGCAGGTTGGCTGCTGGCTGGAAATCACTCATGGTTGGGGGTTGACTACCAGGATGGTAAATGGAGTTATGGAAATGAATACCACATTTCTATCATGGTACATGATTGAAATGGATTTATAACCCATTTCAATCGTGGTAGTTTTCATACGTACTCGTTTCGGACAGAACATGTTTGGAAGTTCAGTATGAATCCATTTTTGGTGGCTCAATTCTGACCCAAACCCATAAGTACTATAAAGGTTGAAGCTTTACCACTTTAGCCTCTTCGCCTCTTCGGAAATGAAGTGCCTGGACATTTCGCAGTCATGAGAGTAGATATATCTCAATATGCTGAATGAAATAAAGTATGGATGTATATGGATGTATAATATATCATGAACTATTATGGTACATCTGATACGTATTCCATACCTGAAACATACAGGCATCTCATCAATGATGACTTACCAAGTACATGTCGATATAACGGAGAAGAACCCCAGGATTATATTTGTTCATGTAAATGTAATAACGTCTCTCTCTCTCTCTAATATATATATATATACAATTATATACAATTATTATATATATACACACACATCTAAGCATCAATCGGTACAGCACAGCACCGTTATAGATGAATTTCCATATGTTTCTGAGCTGCACAGCATGTTTCCAAATAAGAAACACAGGACGTACTAATCCAACATCCCCCACCCCAACACAACTTGTATCAACCTATGTTGAAGACCCAGTGGAATCCCATGACCTCTGGTTCACCCTTGGTTTCATGGCGGTGAATGGTGAATGATTGTTTTACACAATCGCTGTATATTCAAATTATGTAACTATGTGTATATACATATATATATATGCAAGATTATGCAAGTAGTTATATAATATTGTATATTAAACTTGTAGGCAGAAGAGTCAAAATTGACTTTTGGGAAAGTTTCAACAGTGTTGCACACAGTGATGAACACATTATCAGTAGGTTTGCTGTGCTCTATGTGGGTCGCCCCATTTTTGGCCATGGATTCTCTTCTGGGGCTATGTAACGAATAAACACTTATCTAACCAAGGAAAACGAGCATCCTGATTTGGCCAAAAGACCTCGTGAGAGTCTTGATAGTCCACAAAGTGTGCCTGGTCTTCCAAGGGCATACGACCGAGTTGGTGGCTGAATTAGTCTGTAACCATTCACCCAAATAAGGTCAGCTGGGCTACATGAGTGACGCCGTTGTGAGATTGTTGTGACCCTGAAATATAGGGATTGCTCAGAACCTAAGGAACTGTGGAACACAAATGTTGGTGCTTACCAGCCAGTTCTAGGGTACTTCCCCGAAAGATAGAACTGTGAATTATCACATATTATCACTAGGTATTTTCCTGGGATTTTACTCTTCTTTCCCCTTTTTGGTGGTTTCTGTACGCTATAAATCATGACCAACCCTTCGTCGCCTGAATCTCTTGAGGCCGGGGAGCGGGCGACGCCTGCATCGATGTCAAAGTCTGTAGAAAATGCTTTTGCTTTGTAGATATATATGTACACATAGATAAATATAGAAGATGATGATAAATATGGATAAATCATCTACACATGATTTGTGGATCATTAGTCTAAATCAATCATGAACGTGAAATAATGCTATTTTATGCTATTTCGGATAGTTATAAAGTGACGCCGAGACGTGAGGTCGTTTTGATCTATCCAGAAACCGGTATTTTTTCAGCTACAAAATCATGGTAATCCCATGTAGCCCCATATTAGCTTTTGATCAAAGACATTGTTACCTCACATTATCCCCAAACTTGGATGGCACCAGCTACAGTAACAACTGGTCATCATTATATCAGTATTGGGTCAAAAAACATTCTTCTTACGGGTTCTCACAACAATCCCCAAAAAAGTTAGTATAACATGTCTGGGTAAATTATAATATTTCACTAACCTGAATTAAGGTCATTTGAAGATGATTTCCCTTACGAACCATGATTTCCAGTGAGGTCGCAGTGAGGTCGTTATAATTTACCCAGACATGTATATATGATTGTGATATTGATATTTCTGGACGAGTCTTGATACATGATCATATACCAGATGATATATTTATGATTAATGCGTATAACCCCCCATATTAACACATCAACAGAGGTCAACCCATCAAGGGCTCAAGTTGCTCCAGGTCAAACCATCAAGGTCAACTCACCATCGGCGCCTTGCGGGAAGGCGCCTTGGGAGGGGGTGGCGCGACCACTTCCTGCACGGCACAACCGACATCTCGACGCTGTCGACTAGGCACAGGAAAGTGAAAGTGAAGTTGCTCCGAAAAGTCTGACTCATCTATTTTTCAGGTGGGTGAGATCTATATATATATTCTACATGTATATATATATATGTTTTTTTTTCTACATTATATATATATTCTACATATATATATATTTACATATATATATATATTCTACATATACATATATATATATATTCTACATATATTCTACATATATATATATTCTACATATATATATATTCTACATATATATATTCTACATATATATATATATTCTACATGTCATGTATATATATACATATTCTACATATATATATATAGTCTACATATATATATATATATATTCGACATATATATATATTCTACATATATATATATATACTACATATATATATATATTCTACATATATATATTCTACATATATATATATTCTACATATATATATATTCTACACATATATATATATATTCTACATATATATATATAATATATATATTCTACATACATATATATATATTCTACATATATATATATTCTACATATATATATTCTACATATATATATATTCTACATATATATATATATTCTACACATATATATATATATTCTACATATATATATAATATATATATTCTACATACATATATATATATTCTACATATATATATATTCTACATATATATATATATATTCTACATATATATATATTCTACATATATATATTCTACATCTATATATATATATTCTACATATATATATATATTCTACATATATATATATTATACATATATATATATTATACATATATATATATATTTCTACATACATATATTCTACGTATATATATATATATTCTACATGTATATATCTTATAAATGTATATATATAGTTATATTATGTATATTACATTAATGATATATGTTGCTGCTGCAATGGCCATGCATGTTTCCGTGTTCGATCGCGCCTGCATGTGAGGTCCATGTCTGGGTGTTGGCACCTGGCGGATATGCCCGAAACAAACTACTGTATGTAGTCAGTAGGCTTTAATATTATTGGGATATTTATTGTTATATACATATACATATATAGTTACATATATTGTTACATATATAGTTATATATATATATCTGGGTAAATTATAATATTTCACCAACCTGAATTACGGCCATTTGGGGATCATTTCCCTTACTAACCATGATTCCAGTGAGGTCGCAGTGAGGTCGTTATAATTTACCCAGATATATAGAGGCAATATCTATCAATATCTTATATTTTTCATTAGTGGGTTTATTCTCTGGCAATCAAACATGGCTGGAAAATCCTCCATTTGATGATTTTCCCAGCTAGAAACCTTCATTTAGTTCGGGGATAAAAGGTAGCTTGCCATGTTTGATTACTGGAGGGTATCAGTTTTAAATGTGTATATATATAATTATATATATAATCTCTAGCTGAATTTTACTTGAATAATTAATCCATCCACCTGAAACGTTGGATGATTTTCAGTGGCTTTCCCGTACGTACCATCACACTTCTTTCACGCTTTTCTATGCGGCCAAATTGGCACTGATGTCGCGGTGAGGTTGTTGTAATTCACCAGATCTGAGTCTCCATGTAATCGGATAATTCTATAGCAAATGGTTTCAAACGGCTCGCGAACAATCATACTAAATAATTTTCCAACAACTGGGGTAGCAATGAAACCATTAATATATAACTTTGAGAAAATATCGAGGCTTCACCAACAAACGTGGGGATTTCGTTACAACATGTTACAACAGTACCACCAAGGGGGGAAAAAAATGTCGCGAGAAGAGATGTTGTCGCCCAGGAATTCACCATTCGAGGCGCTGGGAAAATCCTTAAATGCAAGGTCAGAGAGGTTCCTGTTTATGTAAATAATTTCAATTATGTATATAAATCTATAATTTATATCATAATTACCATATACCTACAAAGATGGTGCATTTCCCAGAGGAGCGCAACTTTGTCCATTTGCAATTCAATGTCAATGCTGATAAAGTTCACAAAGTTTTCCAAAATCTTCCCACCCTCTATTTCGCAGGATCAAAGTGAGTTGGAGCAAAAAAAATGCAACCAGTTTTCTCCCGTACGCCGTAATCAAACATGGCACTGGAAAATTCGCCATTTCGTTCGATGATTTCCCACCTAGAAATTCAGACACCTTCATTTAGTTTCCCAGCTTGCCACGTTTGAGGACACCGGAGGGTAACAACAACGACAAGTACATAAGCCCTGTCATTGGCTATTCCATGCTATTCCCTATAGATTCTCTATGCATTCCCTATCGCTTTTCTTTCCCATTGGGAAAATGCCCCAAAATCGGCCGGCCTTGACCTGTCCAAAGCTGCTGCGCCCAAGGCCACCCGGGGGTGGCCGCAGGGGCCGTCGATCTTGGGCATCTCGGGTGGTGGCAGCTGTGGCCTCCTGGATCTTCCATAAAGGATTGGAGGATTTCACCTGAAATCCAATTGGGGACTTAACATAGGGGACTTCTTGGGGATATACGCAACATTTAGATCATTTAGGATGTCTGAAGAATCTGAACATGGACTTCTGAATCCCCCGATTACTTAGCAATTTGAGGGGGGAAGATTGATATTGATGACTTTAAAATTGATCCAACGGAATCCAAGTCGGTGGTAAACCCTGGATCCGTTGGGAGATCCACCGGGATTGCATAAAGGGGGATAGATATGAACAAGAATCATGGTTTACCCATGGGTTTTCTGTTCGGAAAATGGTCTATTGATCTGTGATGATCTGTGAATGTGGGATTTCATGGGATTTCCCATGTCTGTGCTAATTAGCTGGAGGGTAATTTTTCAAATTTCACGGACAGAAGTGGTGGTAAAATACCAGACAAAAACTAGCTCACCGGGAATTCATCTACAACCATGGTCAGCAACTCTGGATATAACTAGCCAACAATGTGATATTTGGGCATGTCTTGAAAATGGGTCGGTTACCACCTTGGAGAATAGGTAGAGGCCACTGCCCTCCTGTGGAATTTCCAGCCTGGTTCTGAGTCATCATGACATGATGTCTGCGTTAAGCTTTGCTTAATGAGTCCAGTCCCCAGTGCTATCCATCGCAAGCATCATCTGCAGTTTGACAGCCAGTCTCCACTGGCTTACAGGTACTCCAACAAACTTACCGGGAAGGTCGATACAAGGCCCACACGTTGGGTTGCCCTCGCAAAAATTGACCAAGGTTCTCTTTTGGTTGGGGTGTCCAATATTTTGGGACGAACACACTTGGCAAAATCATTGGCGCACCCAAAACGATTGGTGAGCTTAGTCAAGAAACACCACAATCGTGTGGGTCTCAACGGTCTCATTCATAACCTCAACAAATGGTCATAAAGCTAGACATGACCCATATCAAATCGAGAGATCCATCTAACTCTATATCTCTATCTCTCTATATCTCTATCTTTCTCTCTCTCCCTCTTCTCTAGATAATTATGTATATAAATAATGATTCCTTATACTGTACATTATACAAAATGTTTGATACCCCACATTTGACCTACCATGCCCACTGCTTCAGTCCTCCAGTTGTTGCACTCTGCTTCTGACACTGGGGAGAGGCCTGGAGAGCTGCAGAAACTTCTCCTACTCTTTGGCTCTCAACACCCAAAAATCTCCCAAATACTTCAAGCAACTAACTTGGGTAAATATGAACAGCATTGAACAGTGAAAAACTAAAGAAAGTTGGTGAACTATGGTAAAATCACCACAAATGGTTGGAACAACCCTGTTGAAATATTACTAACATTCGTAAAATAAGCTTGAAATTCATCCAGACCTTGGAAGCTCATCCCATTTGGTAACTCGTTAGTAACCCTTAGTAAGAGCCATTTATAAGTGGGTTAGTTATACACTTCTACCCCCCCTCACTTACTAACCAGTTACGATTTCTGAGATGATCCTCCAAGTAGGATGTGGTAAACCCAATGTCATAAACTATCCCCATGTCATCACGATTTTTATGGGTGGTATATATAAACCATCCCCAAGTGCTAGTTGTTTATCGATTTCTACTTCCCCCATCCCCACCTGTCGATCGATCTGACGATCTCAGGCATCTGGTCGGCTGGCACAGGCGCTGGCAGCATCTTTGGAGACGAAGCTGCCTGTGCTGCCTCTGCTGCCCGCGGATCACACACATCCTGTTGATTTTACCCTCTAGGAATCAAAGGTGTCAACACTGGAAAATACTCTCGGAATGGAGGTTTAATGGGAAAATCAAGGTACGTTTTAAGGGGTAACCAGGTAGATAAAGAGGTAAACTCAGGGCAAATGAACCATGTCCCACCCAAAGTGAATGTTTACCCACAATGGTTGTAGCAAGCCTGATTATTGTTGAAATCCCACTAAATCCTTCTCTGGCTCTGTAGTTTCTGTAGTCCAAACCCCAAAATCTTCGTCAAATTTGGAGCATCATCCCAAATTTTTCGGGTGGAACATCAAACATGTCTGAAACCATCAACCAGTAATCAGTAATCCCACCAAATCCTCGTTAAAAACCAACAGTTATGAAAACCACCCACCAAGTCCCTGGACCTCAGTAGGTGGCGCTGGTGGCCGCGGCGCCGGCGCTGCTGGCGCTGCTGGCGCTGCTGGCGCTGCTGGCGCAGGCCGCAGCCAGGAGCTACTGGAGGTCTCCTGGGGTGCTGTCAAGTTCCCCTCGGTATCAAAAGATCAAACATGGCTGGGAGATCCCATCCATGGGAAGATATGGGAAGCTATATAGGAAACTATGGGAAAATGATGGGAACATCATTTTAACATCGGCCCATCTAGCCATGGGAAGATATGGGAAGCTATATAGGAAACATTAGGGAAAATGATGGGAACATCATTTTAACATCGGCCCATCTAGCCATGGGAAGATATGGGAAGCTATATAGGAAACTATGGGAAAATGATGGGAACATCATTTTAACATCGGCCCATCTAGCCATGGGAAGATATGGGAAGCTATATAGGAAACTATGGGAAAATTATGGGAACATCATTTTAACATCGGCCCATCTAGCCATGGGAAGATATGGGAAGCTATATAGGAAACTATGGGAAAATGATGGGAACATCATTTTAACATCGGCCCATCTAGCCATGGGAAGATATGGGAAGCTATATAGGAAACTATGGGAAAATGATGGGAACATCATTTTAACATCGGCCCATCTAGCCATGGGAAGATATGGGAAGCTATATAGGAAACTATGGGAAAATGATGGGAACATCATTTTAACATCGGCCCATCTAGCCATGGGAAGATATGGGAAGCTATATAGGAAACATTAGGGAAAATGATGGGAACATCATTTTAACATCGGCCCATCTAGCCATGGGAAGATATGGGAAGCTATATAGGAAACTATGGGAAAATGATGGGAACATCATTTTAACATCGGCCCATCTAGCCATGGGAAGATATGGGAAGCTATATAGGAAACTATGGGAAAATTATGGGAACATCATTTTAACATCGGCCCATCTAGCCATGGGAAGATATGGGAAGCTATATAGGAAACTATGGGAAAATGATGGGAACATCATTTTAACATCGGCCCATCTAGCCATGGGAAGATATGGGAAGCTATATAGGAAACTATGGGAAAATGATGGGAACATCATTTTAACATCGGCCCATCTAGCCATGGGAAGATATGGGAAGCTATATAGGAAACTATGGGAAAATGATGGGAACATCATTTTAACATCGGCCCATCTAGCCATGGGAAGATATGGGAAGCTATATAGGAAACATTAGGGAAAATGATGGGAACATCAATCCAAAACATCGGAAAATCATCGATCAATTGGGGAGTTTTCCAGAAACCAATGGAATCCAATGAATCCAATGAATATAGCGGCACCAGTTGGAACATATGGGATGAAGTATATTAATATCTATATAATTATATATACAACCAATAATATGTATATAATTATCTATCTATCGTATAGGAAATATGATATATATAATTAGATATATAGGTTGAAGTATGTTGTAGTTGGGTATAATCTCTTCATGCTGGTTGCTGAATATCCTATTTCTATTGGTGAATTTTCTGGTGAACCCAAGGCGCCACAAGACCCGAAGACGTCAAGTGATCTATTTCTGGGGATATATCATGGGAATTGGTGGGGTAATTCTCAATGTTCATGGCCAATTTTCCATTCAAGAACTGGGAATGATCTATTACATCATATTCCTTGCATGGATCATGGATATGCTTGTTTTGACCAATGAAAAACACAATGTTTGCGGGGGCAGCGGCAACATTTCAGTACAGTATGGGTCAAAAGCCTAGTGCTGCGCATTTCACACGCAACATGATCAACATGTTTGATGTCTGTCAGTTGTTCGGTCCTCATTCTTGGTTCATCACCATAATTATAGAATAATGTTTTGTTGGTTGAGACTAGTTGAGTCTCAGTTTTCCTCGGTAAAAATCGGCGATTTTGCTGGTTACATCCACATGTTTCTTCATCGAATCCCGTCCTGGTGTCTGGGCGGCGAGAAAGGCTCGCGGCTGTGGTCTGCAGATGGTTTTCACACATGGGATGCCACGGATGACTTCAATGGGTTCCCAATGATTGGACAAACAGGTACCGGCATTGGCACAAGACCAAAGTTGGGCTTCACTACATTGCTGTCTTCAGATGTATGAGGTGCTTTGTCCCTGCCCATCATTTTTTGCAGATCAGCTCGCTTGCGACCAACCGGTCTTCGGCCAGTCGCAGACTTTTGTACACAGAATTCTGGGCACGGGGGTCAATTCATTGGGGTCCCCAAAAAACCATAAAACACACAGAATTGGTCGTATTTATTCATAGTTCTTTGTCTATAATGCTTTTCAGGGATAATTCTGACCCATCCCAAGTGGGTTTGGCTGAATATAGGCTGCCCATGGCTGCCCTTCCCAATCCAGGGGTTTATCAGCACTTTTTCCATCTAAAGCACTAAACTTATTTGGAGTATACCTCATTTTCTGAACCATCCCCCATTGACCTGCATGGTGGGGCCCTCAGTGATGTTTTCTGGTTCATGGACCATAAACCCCATTAACTATATAATATATATATGTATATATACATATATGCATATATTATTCATAATATATATATGCATATACTATATACACGTGTATATATATACAGCAAAAAAAAACAAACTGAACCGTTAACCAGTTCTGTGTGCATTTAAGTGTCAACTGAGCAACATCGTTTCTGTCAACCCCATCGATCGAAAAAGAGCTCACCAGAGCAAGGCCGACAGGTCATGCCACAAGTCGCTCGATAAGTCGGTCGACACCAGGAAGGCGGGGTCGCAAAAGGCCTCGATCTTTCGATTCACCAAAGATGCTGGATCTAAGCCTCTGGTTATGTCAAAATAGCTATTGAAAATGGCCATTTATAGTGGATTTTCCCATTAAAAATGGTGATTTTCAATAGTTATGTTAGTTTACAGAAGGGTAAGCTGCATCTTGTCTGTTTTTTTGTAAACTGTAAAGTATGAAAAATATCAATGATCAAAACAACCAACAAAATTGGAAAGTCTGGGCTGAGTAGTTTGGGAGGTAACAAACAAACAAAAAACCATTGACGCGATTGAAACGGAACCCCCCACCGTTTGTACTGTACCCATCCATGGGATCCTGCACCGCATTTGAGCATGGCCCGCCCTATGGACTTTCACGATCCACCATTCGTTGAAGGGATAATAAAAAAACAATAAATCACAATCCAAATAGAGGCATACATAAGCAATCTTGGGGTGCCGCCTAGCCGCCTGGCCGCCTTTTGAATGCATTTCATTGGGTGACATCACAGCATTTTTCTGGATATTGGCTGATAAAACTATATTAAACTAAATTAAATCACACTGGATTTGTCTCAACATTGACCCAAAATAATGATTTACAGTAATTTGTGTGATGATAGCAATTATAAACCATAGAACTTTGTGGGAATTTGAGGTTCCAAAAATTCAAATTGATGTTCAACTCATGCCACTCTGCTTCGTCTGAAAAAAAAGGAACAAATCCAGGGTTATCATCAATTTACCCAGTGATCCCTATTGAACTGGCCACACTTTGGGCTTAGAATATGTTAGAATCACATCATTTTCAGACCCAAGCATGATTGTTGTTTGTTCATATATTCATATATATTCCATATTCCATTCACCCCAACAATTCAATTAAGTATCACCATGACGCACCATGTGTCTCCATATATTGTCTGGTGAAATCCATGGGATTTTGCATCGTTTTCTCCACCGACTTGACTCGCAGGCACCGAAGCGAAGTAGCCCGCTTCAATGGCCGCCTCCAGCTCACCTCCATCGGCTTGAGTCAAGTGTCAAACAGCCCTCAAACTTTTGCATATGTCATATGTCATATATGTATTGTATATATAATATATACAATATGTATAATGTAATATGTATGTATTCCATTGGGAGTCAAGTGTCATTGGGTTTTAAGGGACATTTTTTCAGGACCTTCCCGGATACATGGGAAACACCTTGGTTTCCGCGAAGCTTTGCCTGGCTCCCAGTGGCAGCAGCCAAAGAAGCAGCAGAGGTCTTCGGGGCTCAAATGTTTCCACCTGACAGCGGAAGACGCCTCAAGTTCCAAGTTGGTTTAGAATTATATACGCTACATCAAGTAGGATCTATTCATAATTCATGGTATGTACATATATAATATATATATATAATTAATTATATTGTATATATATATATATATTGTAGATATATCTCCCTGATCTATGGCATATCTATAATTAGATGGGGATATTTTTACCACTGACTATCTGTTGGGCCCAACAACAGCCACGCTAGCCGCCTCAGCAAATCTCTGGCGTGCGCCACAACTTCATCGGAGCTCAGGAAGACACCTGGAGATCGGCTGAGGACTGGGTGCCCAAATGGCATTGTTCTCAATGGTTGTTACCCTCTGGTAAACTAACATAGCTATTGAAAATCATCATGTTTAATGGGAAATTCCACTATAAATGGTCATTTTCAATAGCTATGTTAGTTTACCAGAGGGTAACCATTCACTAACCATTCACCAATATATTTTGGCCAATGTTAACATTGTATTAACCATGAATATTACCCATTGGTTATTCTCAGTGGCCTTGTTAACCATTCATCTGACATTGAATCATATGACATTAACCAATGAATCATATGAGATGAGCCAATTGAATATGGCTACCTTCAAATTGGATCAAATTGCTTGACCATCATTTTCTGGTTGGTGGTTTCGCAGTTTCAACCCCTTTGAAAAATATTAGTCAGTTGGGGTTACTATTCCCAATATATGGGAAAATAATCCAAATGTTCCAAACCACCAACCAGACTACATATTGAACTTGCAAAGTTCAGGGGTGTATACCTCCGTTTTTGGGGACAATACCAATGAGGATGAAGCCAACAGGCGTGTACAAACAACGGAATTCAGCCTAAATACCTATATATTTACATAATCGTTATTTCGTGGGAAATGATGTGACATAATAATATTAAATTTCACGAGCTCCTGGGATTTTGTGATTTTTAGGGAATATTGGATATCAAGGTCAAGATGCAATATTTGGTGCAGTGTACG